CCCACGCCAAAAGGAAGTGAGTTAGATCACAGTGAATGCTGCAGTGAATTCTCTACAGAACAGAATGATGGGGTGACAGTAAGTCACAACCATGCAGCTGTGTGTGCACATAAGTACATACTTTGGTTTTTAAAGAGACAAGCTTTTACTGTGCTGCTCAGGCTGGCCAAGAATCTATCCCACACTGGCCATCTGAGAAACTGGGACTACAAGAAGAACTGCAAGGGGTGAAATGTTTATGACCCCGACTTAATCAGGACCCACTATACACATGCATCAAACTATCACCCTGCACCCCAAAATACGTTGAAGGGTATAGTGACAGTCTGGGCCACACAGCAAAAAATAATTATAAATAATATTACTAACTGGGGCAATAGTCACTATTGCAGGATTCCTTGTCTGCTTGTAGATTTCAATGGGAAAAGTAATTTTTATTTATTTTATTTATTTATTTATTTTGGGTAGGTTGTAGCTTGGGTAGCAGAGCCTTTTTAGTAAGCACAAAGCCTTGGGACTAGCAGAAAGAAAAAGAAAGAGAACCCTTTTCAGGGCTGGACACACAGTACTCTGCCGCTGAATCACGGCAGGCCACCGGCCCAATGAGAGTTTTCAAGAACGTCACAGGCAGTCAGTCTCAGCCCCCTCCCACTGTAGTCCTGGGCCCAGGTCTTACCCGTAGGAATGCCCGATGAGCACGTTCCGCTTCTTGGCATAGCGCTTGAAGATGGCGCGCATGTCCTCGGCCAGGGCGTAGAAAGTGTAGGCCGCGGCCACCTGGGGCGCAGAGCTGGCTCCGTGGCCAGCCAGGTCAGGTGCCACCACCTCGTAGCCCAGGCGCACAAAAAAGTCCAGCTGTTCCTTCCAGATGGCCAGGGAGCCACCGACACCATGAATGAAGAACAGCACCACGTCGGCTTGTGTGCCCTTGCAGCTGGTGATGCGCTTCTCGCAGTCAATGTGGATGGTCCTCTTGGGGCGCCTCGCCCGCCGCCGCCGCCCGCCGCTGCCCGCGCTGCCAGGGTTGGAACGGCCGTCGCTGCCGGCCGGGTCGGCCAGCTCTACCTCCAGGGCAGCCGGCGGCTCCCCGGAGCCGTTCTGCCCATGAAGGAGGTCAGCCCTGGGTGCCCGGCCCAGGTTCTCCACAACCAGCCGCCCGTTGCGGTACACGGTGATGCGGCGCTGGCAGCGGACCAAGCCAGACCTGTCCCCATGGGCCCCCTCCAGGGCTACTGGTGGTGGTGTGGGGGCCTGCGCGGGCCCAGCATGCTTCACCCGCAGCACACGACCAGGCTTGACCTCCACAAAGGTATAGCCATCGCTGGACTCCACGCTGTCCAGCGGCCCCACGGCATTGGGGGGTGCGCCCAGCAGGCAGCAGAAGAAACCATCGGTCACCCCCATCAGCATGTTGTGTCCTGTGAGCAGGGGCAGAGACCAGCTCGAGGGAGTGGACATGTTAGTTTTCCACCTGCAGCACCCGCTCCCTCAACCTGGGTCCAAATAAGGGGATGTTCCTTCCAGGCCACAGGCAGCCAGCTGAGGCACTGGGGACCGTCTATCTGTGCAGTACCTGCTGGTGGTGGGCACCCTTCATGGCCTGGGCTGGCTGCACAGGTGATCACAGGGAGTATGTGAAGATGGCGTGAGGCAGGGAGGCTTTGGTGCCAGATGTGGCCGGGCCCTGGAGACAGCTACACCACAGGGCTGGGCCTCCTAACCCCTTCCTCCACGCACACACAGCCCAGGGCCTCCAGGGCATTTTAACGGGAACAAATAAGTCCCTCTCAGCCCCTGCTCCCGGCATCTGTCACCCTGACTGCTGAGGCTGAGGCTCTGGAAAGAGGGCTGAGGACGGGGCTGCAGAAGGCCTAACCCACCTGCCCGGCCTGCCGGCGTCCCTAACCCAAGGGTCTAACGAGGCCCAGAACCTCCCTGAGGATGCCACCTTCCGCACCACCACCCCTTAGCAGCCTCAGTTATGAGAGGCTGGGGGTGGGATGGAGGCAGGCCTTGGGTGTCCTGGGGGGGGGGGGCATCCATTCCCTGACCTCCCCCACGGTGTCCATAGCAACCCCAGGCGGTTACATAACTCAGGGGGGATAGGTAGCACACCCCCATTGTCTCAGACCTGGGGATTATGCCCATCTCATTCTCCCTCCCGCCATGGTGGTGCCCGCTAAAGACCCGGCTGCTGCAGGGGCCGAGGGCACCCGGGAAGGAGGGCCGGGGAGGAGGCCCGCTGCGGGGGAGGCGGCCGGGCCCCACCTGGTGTCTCCCCCGTACCCGGGCCGACCCCGGCCTCCGAACGCCTGAGATCCCACAATGAGGATGGGCACTGGGGCTCCGTGGCTTCCTAGGAGTCCGACGCGGGCTTTGTGGACTGACCCGGCCTGAGGCTGGGGCCCGGGAGCCCCGACGTTCCGGTTCCCCGGCCCGCTCCCGCTAACCTACCTCATGGAGGGGCCCGGGCGCGGGGCAGGGTGCAGGGGACCCGCGCGGAGAGGCGTCGGCCGGCGGGCACCGCTTACATGGTGGCGGGGGTCGGACAGGGCGAGCGCAGACACCGAGCCGTCAGCGCGGCGCCATCCCGCAGCGTCGGAACCAGCAGCCCTTTAAGTCCCTCCAGAGGGGCGGGGCCGCTGCCTGACAGACAGACATTTCAGCCTATCACAGCTGAGAACTGGCTTGCCCTAGATAGCTGTCCAACCAGAATCCGAGCTCGGGGACGAGGGCGGGCTCTGTGGGCCCCAGCCCCGCCCCCTCGAAGGCTTAGAGGGATGGGGGTGGGGACCGGGCCGGGGCCTGCGGCGCGGCCTCGCAGCCCCGGGTCGGCGCCCGCGGAGGCCGCGGCCCTGACCGCCCTGTCCCCCCTTCCACAGTAAAAAACACAGACACCCAGACCTTTGCGAGTTCAGGTAGGAAAACTGAAGCTCACCGCGATGAGGCAAGGTGAGGACTTGCGGAGTCCAGGGGATTGTTATTCAAATAGAAAGTCCTGGAAATGGGGTGATACAGAACCGCCGTTCACAAGCAGACTCCCTCCACCCTCCAGGGAGAGCAGGGAGCCGGCTCTGCCCTGCCCTTGGCCAAACCTCTTCCCAAAGCCGCGGGCACGGCCCTGGGAGTCGCCGCGCACTGTCCCGCGCAGGAGTCACCGCACTGTCCCGCGCAGGGCACGCGTGGAGTCGCCGCACTGTCCCGCGCACTGTCCCGCGCAGGAGTCACCGCACTGTCCCGCGCAGGGCACGCGTGGAGTCGCCGCACTGTCCCGCGCAGGGCACGCGTGGAGTCGCCGCACTGTCCGCGCAGGGCACGCGTGGAGTCGCCGCACTGTCCGCTCAGGGCACGCGTGGAGTCGCCGCACTGTCCCGCGCAGGGCACGCGTGGAGTCGCCGCACTGTCCGCGCAGGGCACGCGTGGAGTCGCCGCACTGTCCCGCTCGGGGCACGCGTGGAGTCGCCGCGCACTGTCCCGCTCGGGGCACGCGTGGAGTCGCCGCGCACTGTCCCGCTCGGGGCACGCGTGGAGTCGCCGCGCACTGTCCCGCTCGGGGCACGCGTGGAGTCGCCGCGCACTGTCCCGCTCGGGGCACGTGTGGAGTCGCCGCACTGTCCCGCTCAGGAGTCGCCGCACTGTCCCGCTCGGGGCACGCGTGGAGTCGCCGCACTGTCCCGCTCAGGAGTCACCGCACTGTCCCGAGCAGGGCACGCGTGGAGTCGCCGCACTGTCCCGCGCAGGGCACGCGTGGAGTAGCTGTGCTGGTGGCTGTCTGCTCAGTGGGCATCAGGGGACGAGAGAATAGCTCCTTGCTGCCTGCCTATTCTCATTGCCTGACCTTTGCTGCTAAAGCTGGATTCCATCCAAGCAGCCACCATTTGCTGAATCTGTAGCCTCCTGGGGCACCGAGTGCGCCAGAGGGTGGTTGGTTGTACTCAGGGTGCTCCACACATTCGGCGAATATTCCCAGGGCTCCTAGGCCAGCCCCACACTAAGATGTGACAGGGACACCCAGCTTCCAGCCTGGTCTTTGCCCCCCATCTGGAATTGCCCCACTCCAAGCTGTCTGGAAGTCTGAAGGGAGGCCCACACTGCGGTCAGCCCAGGGAGGGGCAGGGTTGGGAGGAGGTTCTAAAGGGCGGATGGAGACTGGGTGGTGAGGAGAGGGTGGCTGACATTTAGAACGCTTAGAGAGTTCTGCATGCTTGCAGAGGAACTCTGAAAACCTCCTCCAGGGCTCGACTGGGAGACAAAATAGCCCAGAGCAAGCTGCATCTGTAAGTTTTACAGACTTACAACTGAACACCTGTAATCCTGGCCACTCAGGAGACTGGGCTCGCGGGATCCTGGTTCAGAGTTCGCCTGGGCAGGAAAGCCCATGAGACAAAGGGACACTGAAAGCCGTTAGTGGCGGTGTGGCGTGGTGATGGGGACAGCACCCAGGCCTTGATTTCCAGCCCCAGCAAAGGAAGAAGAAAAAAGAAGGAAAAGAAAGGAGGAGGACGAGGGGGGGGAGGGGGAGGAGAGAGGGAGAGGAAAGGAGGGGAGGGGGGAAGAGGGGGCAGAGAGGGGAAGGGGAGGAGGGGGAGGAGGAAGGGGGGGAGGAGGAAGGAAGAAAAGAGGGGGAAAGGACTTGGACTCCCTCAAGGACACCCCACCAGCTCCAACCTCCGGCCTCCTGGTGGCCGGCCAAGGGGAGGAGACTTGGCCGTGTCTGCAGCCCGGCCGCCCGGCAGCTGCGAGCCACCTGCCCCGCTGCGGCTGGCTGGCGAGAAGCCACTTCCGGTGACTGCCGCCAGCCGCGCCGCCGCCACCCTGAGCCTCCCACGGCGGTCGACCGAAGGGACTACAACTCCCAGCCGCCGCGGGACACGTCGCTGCCCACGCACGCGCAGGCTGCGGCGAATAGGCGCCACTCACCCGCCGCCCCCTGCTGGTCGCCAGGAGAACTGCAGTCCATGGAGGGCACTACGCGCGAGCTGTGACGGAGGGAATGGGCAGCTGTGGAACTTCAGCTCCCAGATTGCCCGGCGGCAATCCGGGAAGGTGAAACTACATCTCCCAGAAGGCTTTGTCCCGGAACTGTGCCGGCCTCGGGCCCTGAGGGGCCCGCGTGACCCGCCGTTGGACATGGCTCTCTGGAGTGGATCCATTCTGGGCTCCTTCCGTAGGTCTGCGGCGCTGCTGGGGGGCAGGTAAGGCCCACGCGGAAGGCCGGGCCGTTCCTGCGCCCTTTGCCAGGCTGGGGGCCGGGGAGCCGGGGCGCGGGGGCCGCGGCGCGAGCGGCGGACCCCAGCCCGCCCCGGTGACCGTCTCGCGTTCCTCTGCGTCCGCAGATGGCTGCAGCCAGCCCGGGGCAAGGCGCGCGGGAACGAGTACCAGCCGAGCAACACCAAACGCAAGCACAAGCACGGCTGGGCGCGGCGCCTGCGCACCGCGGCCGGCGTCCAGGTCATCCTTCGCCGCATGCTCAAGGGCCGCAAGTCCCTGAGCCACTGAGGACCGCCGCGCCCTCCCCGCGCGGACCGCACAGAGACGCCGCCTGACTCCGCCCAGCTGTGGGGTGGACCGTGGAGACCGGAGGTGCGAGCGCGCTGTCGGGCCTTCCAAATCCCCACCTCGCTTTTGAGGAGTTTGGAATGCAGACACTAGGCCTCCGGATAGCACAACGACCCTGCCCCCCAGGGACTTGCCATCCTGACCACTCGCAACTCCTACCTCCTCCTACTCCCCCAACGGTGACCGTAACTTCAGAATATCACTAAGCGGCTAATAATCAGACTTCCACTCGTGCTGTTTTGGAAAATTAAGGCTTTCAGATTGTCCACATGCAAGACCTTGGGCAAGGCCTTGGCCCTTGGGTCCTATAAAAAAAAAGTGATTGTGCGCTTCTCCTTTGCTGTTATTGAATGATAGTAATGGTGCCCGTTAGCCACTTGCTGAGCAGCTGATCTGCAGAAGCCCTTGGGGAAGAGAGTGGAGTCCACACCTGGACTTAAACAGGGGGCGGAGGCACTCGACATGGCGCTGACTGGAGCGCCTTCACTCCAGTGGAGGCAGTGTCAGTGTCTGGGAGGAAGGATTGAATAGGACCAATGTGGTGGAGACTGGAGGGCCAAGGTAAGCTTGGGAGTTAAAGTTTGTATTACCTGTGCAAAGGTAATTCAGTCAGTTTTTTCAGGAGCCATCTAGATATGCTGAAAACAACGGTTGAAACTGTTACATTGGAAAAGAAAAAGCACATGGGTGCCGCAGTGGCACACACACATAACCCTAACTACTAAGGAGGTCGAGATCCAAGGATCCCAGCCAGGAAAGTCTAAGACTCTTACCTCCAATTGTACAACCAAAAACCCGGGGAGGGGGGTGGGTAGCACAGGGATCATGCCCAAGCCCTGAGTTCAAGTTCTAGGACTGACACAGACACATGGACGATATGGTTCAATGTCAGCGCAGGTTTTTTGTTTGTTTACTAAGTCTTTTATTGTGAAGATACTGTACAGAGGGGTTTCAATTACATGGGCAAGGCAATGAGTACAATTCTTTTCTTTTTTCTTTTTGTCGGTTGTGGGGCCTGGGCGCTGTCCCTCAGCTCTTCAGCTCAAGGCCATCGCTCTACCAATTGAGCCACAGCGCCACTTCCAGCTTTTTTGCTTATGTGGCGCTGAGAAATCGAACCCAGGGCCTCATGCATGCATGCAAGGCAAGCGCTCTACCACTGAGCCACCTTCCCAGCCCAATGAGTACATTTCTTATCAAGTATTGGTGCTTCCTCTTGTTTTTCCCCTACCATCCCTTCCCTCCCATCTCCACAACTACACTCCACCCTCCCACCCCCGGCCAGGTTTTATTTGGGAGAGAAAACCCACGAAGGAGGTCTTCCGCAGAAGCTAGAGCCCACGACTTACACCTTTGTGGATGTGCGTGTATGCGCATGTGCACATGCAGATAGTACAACATCTTGAACTCGGACTCACTCTCTGGGCTTGAACTCGGCCTGGGCGCTGTCCCTCAGCTCTTCAGATCAAGGGGAGCGCTCTACCACTTGAGCCACAGCGCCACTTCCGGCTTTTTTCTTTTTGCTTATGTGGTGCTGAGGAATCGAACCCAGGGCCTCATGCATGCAAGGCAAGCGCTCTGCCACGGAGCCACCTTCCCAGCCCTCTCTGGGCTTTTTTACTCAAGGCTGGCACTTTGATCACTCGACCCACAACTCCACCTCAACACCGGAGGTTTTTAGGTGGATCAATGACACGTTCTGGAAAGGCTGCTTGGGCCGGGAAGATGTCTCTCGGGTTGCTTCAGAGGCTGCTAGGGGCTGTTGAATCTCTCTGGGCCAGGCCAAGTCGCAGGAAGCAGATAGAAAAGTTAAGAGTGGTGGCTTTGAGTCCCCCGTCTTCCAGGATTACCGGGAGAACTTCGCTGGACACCGTCTGAAAAAGCGCAATGAAACTATGGGAAGAGGCTCGCGAAGCCTTCAGGCAGGTGTGGTGAACTACAATTCCCAAGTGTCTTCGCGGTCCAAGCCTCCGTCCACTTCCGGATCTCATTCCCAGCGCTTCCAAATCTCGGGCGGGGTTTTGCTCCTTCAACCGAGCTTGGCTATGAAGGAGGAGGCGCGGCGGCCAATAGCCGCGCAAGTTTTCCGGCTCTGTCCAATGAAGTCAGGCAGGAGCCCTGCACCGCGAGGGCGGGGCTAGCGGGTGGGCCAATGACGGAGGGGCGGTGGCGCCATCAGTGTGAGCTGTGCGGTGGCTGGAAGTTACTGTGCGGCGGCAGCTGAGGCGCCTGTGGCGGCGGCGGCGGCGGCGGCGGCTGCTGCAGCTGAGGCGACGACGGCGGAAACAGAAGATGGTAAGGGCGGCCGCCGGACCCGACTCCCCTTCCGCTTAGCGAAATGACCCGCGCACCCCTCGGACCGCGCGCGGCTCCCCGCCGCCCTTCCCGGCCCCCAGCCCTCGCCCCGCCCCTCACGCTGCCGGGACTCTCGGTCCCCGCCAGCGGTGCGCTGCCTGCTGACCCCGCCCCCTCCTCGACCCCTGACCCCGAGTGGGCCCCAGGCCCCGACAACTCATTGATTTCCGGGTCGCGATTCTCCTTCCCGTCCCCCCCCCGGAAATTTCCGGAGACCCCCCGCCAGCTCCGCTGGGTGCGGTGGGTGGGCCTGAGCCTGTCGAGTTCTGGAAGATTCGGGAGGCCGGGCGGGGGAGGGGGCCGGACCCCGCGCCGTGCGGGGCTTTGTCGCGGGAGGAAGTGCGACATCACAGGCTGCCGCGATTCCTCGGGAGTCGCCCACCCCCGAGGCGTCTCCGGGAGGAAAGCAGCGTGCGGGGCCCCCGGGACGGCGGGGCCCCCCGGACGGCCGGGCCCCCCGGACGGCGGGGCCGGGGCCACCCCCGCCGCCGGGCCGGGCTCGCCCCCACCCCCCGACCGTACCGACCGGAGGCTGAGTCAGTCCGGGGCCCATCTCCCAGCCCCGTCCTGGGCACGCCGTGGGCATGGAAGGGGGCTTGGCCTCTCCGGGAGGAAGGTGTCGCGTTGCGCGCCTGGTGTGTGGGTCCCGGAGCCTACGTGCCATCCCTGGCTGGCCACTGCCACCTCCCGCCCCGAGCTGTCTCCACAGCTCCCGGCCCTGGCCAGGCGTCGCCCCCTCCTGGGCAGGTGGGCCCCAAGCTGCTCTCCTGGACCCCACCCCTCCGGTGATCCTCCTCCATCCCAGCCAGGAGTTTTTAAAGATGTGAATCAGATGGTACTGCTTTCTAGCTGTCAAACCACAGCTGCCAGGGTGACCCAGCTCCTGGCCTCCACCCAAGACCCTGACCCCCTCTGTGACCTCATCTCCTAAGCACACCCTCTTCAAGCCCCAGCCACTGGCCTTGTACCTCCTCACACCCACGTTCCTGCTTCCTCGGGGCCATTGTACTCAGCAGTCCTCCGCTGTGATGTTCTTTCTTCCTCCTGTGAGCATGGCTTCCTCTGCATGTTGTTGTTCATATCTTGCTTAGTGGGGTCACTGGTGGGTCACCTCTACAGGCATGGGAACACAGGAGTTCTGGAGTGTTTGCTGAGGCAGTGGATGGCTTAGGTAAGATTTTTGAGGGGGCGGTCAGGACCTCTGCTCACCACTGCTTCCAGCAAGTCTCTTCCCTCACATCCCTTAGCCAGCAGGGCTGGGTAAAGACTGGGTCCAGGAGTCCGGGGCTCTGCAATTCTTGGTGTTTGGCCACTCAGGCCCCTGTAAACCATGCAAGGGGCTCAGGGTTGAGTCTTCCCGCCCTACCCGCACCCTCTTGGAGATGCCAGTCTAGCAAGTGAGGAAACATGGACAAAGACAGATGATCTTACAGGGGCATGAGCAGCTGGGGGACAGATGAGGAGTGGGAATGGTTTAAACCAAGGGGGTGGGGGTTGGTGGGTTTGTTCCAGGTAGAGACATGAATGACTGTGTGTAGCAGGAAGCCACAGGGTGCTTGCTATCCTAGGCCAGGGCTGTGCAAGGACTTGCAGAACAGGGCCCTGAGCCCCTTCTCCATCACGGCCTCTGGGCATCCATCCCCAGGCTCCCAAACTCCCAAAGGCCTCTGTCCTTCATGTCCTAGGACTCAGAGGTACCCTCCAGAAACCATGACTTCATAACTGCTTCCCGTGCATTGTGCAGGTTTCCTGGAACCACCTGTGGACCAGGCTGGGGCTTAGCCCAGGGAGCTGCTGCATGGTCGGGCCAAGGGCAGCCCTGCCAAGCAGGAGGGTGGGAGGAGTAGGCCTTATGAGCTGGCTGGACTAAAAGCGGGCTCCTGGGGGGAGGGCACTGGCTCCCAAGTAGTAAATCACAGGCACAGCAGAGCTGACTCCTGGAGGGGAAGTGGAGGCCTACTGGCCAAGCCCTAGGGGAGCTGACACACAGTTCTCCCCCATTGAGAGTGGGGAGGAAGTTGTCTGGACAGCAGTTTCCCAGGAGCTCTGGGCCTCATGGATAGACGACTGCCCAAGAGTTGTGGCTTCTTGCAGCCCACAGGGCTCTGAGCTTTTGGCTTTCAGGGATGTCACACAACAGCAAGGACTTGGCCTCCGGGTTGGGCAAGTCTGGGACTAGGTGACTGCAGATGAGTCACAGATGGCCTCTCTGCCTCGGTATCCTGTGTTTATGATGGGGACACATGATGACATCTTTCTTAGGAACCCTCTGGCCCACAGCAGCACTTGTGGGGAGCCCATGCAGACCCGGCCTTTGTCCACTATCCCACCCCTCCCACCCCAGGCCTGACCAGCAGGAATAGATTGAACAGGACTTTTGAGGACCTCGTGGGTTATATTGCTGGACCCCTGGAACCACAGGGGCTGTGAACACTGCTGGCCAAGCATTGGCCGGTGAGAGGCAGAGAGGCAGCAAGGCCAGCACCTGCTCTGGACCATCCCTGCCCTGATGATAACATGTTCAAACTGGGGTTGGATTTCTGGTCATTCTTGACCGTGAGGAGCTTGGACACGCCTTTTCTCAAGTGCCACACCCAATTGGCTGGGTTCCTACTCCATAAGCCCTGTTTTCTCTCCTGGTCCATGTAGCTTCTCAGATGTTTTTGTGTCCTTGTTCCTTGTCTGAGGGGGGTTTCCGGGAACAGCCAGAGGCCCTGCACCCAAACGGAGCATAAGCACCCCTTGGCCTGGGCTGCTCGGGGGCCGGCGGGCAGCGCTTCTCCCTGCTGCATACCAGTGGCCTATTCTCTCTGTGCCTCCGCATGGCCGTTAATGGGTGCTTGTGGCAGGGACGCAATTACAGGTACCTTCTAGAAAGCTTGTGTGGCAAAGAAACCGGAGAGCATAGCCCAATGCTGCCTTGCAGCTAAGTACTACTTTCTCACACCGTCTCCCTGTCTTCCAGGCAGATTTCTTAAAAGGATTGCCTGTGTACAACAAAAGCAATTTTAGCCGATTTCATGCCGACTCCGTGTGCAAAGCTTCGGTAAGTATGTGTTCTGGGGCAGGACATTGTCAGTGAGCTGTGAGGCCTGGGGCTGGCCTCCCAGATCATGGCAGGGACTGAGACCCCTCCTTTTCCACACCTTCCACAGAACCGGCGCCCCTCAGTCTACCTACCCACTCGGGAGTACCCATCTGAGCAGAGTAAGTACTGTCTGATGGTTCCCCAGCCCAGGGGCCAAGCTCAGCTTTCTGGTTTAGTTTCCTTTCCCGGGCCTAATGGGGAGGCACCCAAAGAGGTGGAATCTGAAGATGGTGGTTAACACTAAAAAGCTGGAAGTGGAGCTATGACTGAAGTGGCAGAGCACTATCCTGGAGCAAAAAAGCTCAGGGACAGCACCCAGGCCCAAAGTTTAAACCCTAAGACCAACACACACACAGAAAAAGGCCCATCAGTGCAAAGGAGGGGAGGGGCAAGTGATTCCTCCCAGGAGTCTGAGCTGGAGGTCAGGCTACCTGCACCTCTTCTGCCACTTTCTCTGTCTTTTCTCTGTAGTCATTGTAACAGAAAAGACAAACATCCTCCTGCGCTACCTGCATCAGCAATGGGACAAAAAGGTAAGGCACGCAGACAGCCATAGCTACTGGCAGCTGCAGGCTCTGAGTGGAGGAGGTAGGACAGGTTGGGAGGTGGGGTGTTAGAGCGTGGGGCCTTGAAGAGGGCTCAATAAGAAGCTGTAGCCAGTGGCTCAGGCTTGTCATCCCAGCTACTCAGGAGACTGAGGTCTGAGGATCATGGTTCAAAGCCAGTTGGATCAGGAAAGTCCATGTGACTCGTTTCTCCAGTTAACCATGAGAAAACCAGAAATGGAGCTGAGGCCCGAATGTTGTGGAGTACTATCCTGGAGCAAAACATCTTGGGGACAGCGCCCAGGCCCTGAGTTCAAGCCCCACAGGGATTTTTTTAAAAAGGAAATAAAGACGCAAGCCGTTTGGGAGGGGATGAACGCCTCAGTGCAGGGAGGACTTGCTCTGGGCACAGGGCCCCAAGGCTCCAGGGCTTGGGAGCTCAGAGGACCGATCCCAGGACCGAACAACAGAATCCAGCCCTGCACCCAACTGAGATCTGTGGACATGGCAGGGCTGTCCCCAGGGGCCCCAAGTGCTCCTTCACTCTGGCCAGATGTTGGCTCCTCAGTGTTGGGGCAAAAGGCCGTGTGTTGGTCGTGGAAGTTATGTTAGTTCTGCTTACAGTGCCTGGTCACCTGACGCAGGTCCGAGGTGACACTGGACAGGGCTTGATGGGGAAGGCCCTGGACCAGTGCGGCCTTGGGTCCCAGTGCTCTGCTCCAGGACCAGCGCTAAGATACTGCCACAGGAGCCTGGCTGGGACCCATACCTGGGATCTCAGCCCAGTGGAGGCTCACAGCCCTATCCTTCCCCGCCCCAGAACGCTGCCAAGAAGAGAGACCAGGAGCAGGTGGACGGGGAGGGGGAGAGCTCGGCGCCCCCCCGCAAGGTGGCTCGGACCGACAGCCCGGACATGCACGAGGACACCTAGGACCCCCGCTCTCCCGGGGGTCTTCCCAGGCCAGCTCCTGCCACCTGCCCACCCACCCCCTGCCCGTAAGCCTCCTGCCCGCCTCCCGGGGCCCCCACACCTCGCCGTCCACAGCGTGTTCAACCTCATAGGAGCCGACGTATTTATTTTCCTTAGTTTTTATTTATGCTGTGACATGTGTCAAGCGGTGGTTAAAGGGGACCTTAGAAGTGTGATGTCATTAGACGCTTTGTCAACATACATTGGTCTTCACACACACACACACACACACACACACGCCCCTGCCCAGGTCCCCCATCTCGAGAGCAGGAGTGTGTTCTCGAGCGCCCAGGGCCAGGGTTCCTGCTACAGCCAGGTGGCAGGGGTGGGGCCAGGCCTCGTGGTCTGGTCTCCCTGGACAGCTGAGCGGCCTTTTCCCTCACACCGGACCGGTCCAGCCTCAGACTCCGCCTAGTCTTGAGGTCCTCCGAGATCTATTCCGTACCTAGGCCTCACTGAGAGGCAGGGGAGAAGCTGGCCCTTCTGGATATTCCTCTTAAGTCATTTATCATGGACTAGTGCGTGCTCCATGTCTACCCCAATAAAGGATCTTTCCTACTCAACCTCGAGTCTTTGCTCTGCACATCTCAGCCCTGGAGGACAGTCCCTGAAAATCATCAGCATCACTGAGAGGAGTGGAAAGGTCCCTTCCCACTGGGGCCCTGGGACCAGCTGGATTCTCTCCCGAACTTGCTGTGGCCATCATGCTCAAGGCCAAGACCTGCTAAGACTAGCCCTCTGCCCCCCTGTGCAGGTGTGCGTGAGGACCAGGTCACCCCGAGACAGTCTGGTGCCGAGTGTGCAGCTGGGGTCATCTAGGATACTACCAAGTGGGGCTGGGTTGCTGTCAGACACTGACCGTGGCACAGCTACTCCCAGAGGCCCAGGGCTTTTGGTGACAGCAGAGATAACGCAGATGTGGCCAGCACTGGTGGGCTATCCCTCACAAGCCCAGCTCATCTAAGAGCCAGGCCAACTGGTGGCCCGTGACTCAGCATGGGTGTTGGGAGATGGCTGGGGAGGGGCACCTCCTCCTCCCTGCTTGGAGCAGTGGTACAGTCCACCTTGGGCCTGCTCCTGCTCACTTCGCCTCCCAGGTGCCCTCAGTCTGCACAGTAAGGTGGGCTCCCCAAGTCCCAGACGTGGACCTTGCTTGTGCAGCACGGATTGAGATGGGTTGGCTGAGCTCCCTGGGGCCCGAGAGCTGGCCTGGTCCTGGGCGGGCTCACGGTGTTGCTGCATTGATGGATGGTGGGACCCCAAAGGCCCGGGGGGGGGGGGGGGGGGGGGGGGGAAGCACAGCACCCAGGGCTGGCCCTGAGTGTCCGCCTCCCTGTGGGGGTGCGCTCCTGTCTCCTCCCTCAGCGGGCAGTCCCCGCCTGAGTCTCCCCAGCATCTGTCTCCTATGCCATCACCCGGGGCACCCAGTACCCCACGCTTGCTCCAAACCGTCTTTCCCGTCGCCGCCCCTGTGCAGGCTGCTGCTGGCCTCCGGCCTCCCCAGCGACCCTGCAGCTGGTCCCACACCGTAGGACAAACACGAGTCCTCGCGGGCCCTGCTCCTGTCCCCCGCGGGGCACCCCAGCCTCCCCGACCTCGTTCACCCCGGCGGGAGCTCCCCCCGCCCCGGCACCCCCCCCCCCACCGCTCTGGCCTCTGACCCTTGAAATATACTTTTTATTGCATTTCTGCCGTTTTACAAAAATATGACAAAATAAATTAAAAACAAATAAATAGTCGCCTATCCGTGTTTCTATCGGCTCGGGGTTTGCGCCCCACCCCGGCGGGAAGGGAAACGGCAGATGGGAGGGGCCGGCGGGGCCGGGCGGGCGAAGCGCGCGATCCGCCGGGCTGGGCCGGCGGGGCCGAGGCGCTAGTGCCAGGCGCCGGGCCAGCACGCGGCCTGCGGGCTGGGGCTGGGGCTGGGGCTGGGGGCCGGGGCGGGGCCGGGGCCCGGCGGGGGTGCGGGCGGGCCGGGCGCCGCCGCGGGCGGGAGGCTGTAGAAGCTGGCGTCGGCGGGCAGGGGCTGCGGGGCGGGCGCGGGCCCGGCCAGGGCGCAGGGCGGGCACTCGGTGGCCGGCGGGGCCGGGCGCGGGGCGGCGCCCTCGGCCCCGCAGCCCCACGGCGCGTCCCACTGCCAGCAGCCGGGGGGCGGCGTCGGGGGCCGCGGCGGCGGCGGCGCGGGGCTCCGGCTGCGGCGGGTGCTGGCGGCCGCTGGGGCCCGCGCCGTCCCTGCGAAGGCGAGAGGGGCCGTTCCGGGGGCCGCGCTGCCCCGCAGGCCCCGCGCCGGACCCCCGTGCCCTCCCGGCCTCCGGGCACGCCGAGGGCCTTATTGCTTCTCCCTGGGGCGTCTAGGGGCGCCCTGCCTCTGGGAACCGGCCCTCCCCAGCGGGGGGAGGACCTCTGACCCATGACCCCTGAACTGCAGATGCGACCTCTGGTGCCCCCCGGGAAGGGGCGCCCCGGGAAGGGGCGCGGGTGCGGGGCGGCGGCCCCCAAGGCCTCCCTGAACGGATTGCATAGCGGCCCGGGGGCGCGGCCCCGCGAGGCGGGCAGGTGGCCGAGGGCTCCCTCACCTGTCCTGGCACCTTAGTGGGTGGGCGCCCCAAGGGCGCCGGTCCCTCCCCGGGGGGCTGGGGAGGGTCAGGCACAGGGCCGGGGGGGCCGGAGACCGAGCCCCGGCGCCGCCGGGCCCCCCGCTTCCCCAGGCCCGGCCCGCGGCGCCCCCGCCCCCGAGTTAAAGCCTGTGACCTGGGCCTTCCTCGTCGGCCCGGGCGGCGTCGGGCTCCTCCGCCGAGGCCTCGTCCGGGGCGCCGCTCCTCGGGACCCGGCCGCCGCCACCGCCGCCGGGGGCCGCGTCCGGCCGCGCCGGGCCGCCCGCCCCGTTGGGCTCGGCGGCGCGGGGCGCGAACGGGAAGAGCTTGGCGGCGTGGAAGGCCTTGGGCGGGGAGTGGCTGCGCTCCTCGCGCCGCGCCTCGGGGGCCTTGAGGAAGCGGAAGCTGAGGAAGCCGGGCAGGCGCGTGTCGCCGCCACCGCCCGGAGGCGACTGCGCGGGGGGCGGCCTGGCGCCGGGCCCCGGCCCCGGGCCCGCGCCCGCCAGCGCCGCGGGCCCCGCCGACAGGAACCTGCCCTGCAGCGGGATGATCTGCTTCAGCTTCAGGACGTTGTTGGGCGCCAGCAGCGACCCCGGGCGCTTGGGGCGCTCGGACCCCGCGCCGCCGCCCTTGGCCTTGGCCGCACCCCGGTCCGCGGCCGCCTCGGGCCCCGTGCCCTCAGCCCGCGCCTCCTCGCGGCCCCCGGCCTCGCGCTCCCGCCGGGCGTGGTGCTCCGCGTGCCGCTGGCGCTCCTCCTCCTCCCGCCGCCGCCGCTGCTGCTGCTGGAAATGGTGCTGGGCCTGGCGCTCGTGCCGCTGCGGGGAGGGGGGCGTCAGGGGCGGGGCCGCGGAGGGGCGGGGCCAGGGAGGGGTGTCCGGACGGGCACGAGGCGGGCCGCGGAGGAGTGTCAGGGGAGGGGCGTGGCCACGGGGGCGTGGCCACGGAGGGGGCAGGGCCGAGGGGGCGGGCCGTGGAGTGTTATGGGAGGGCGGGGCCGCGCGGGGCGTGGCCATGGAGGGGGCGGGGCCGAGGGACGGGCCGCGGAGGGGCTGTCAGGGCGGGGTTGGGGAAGGGTGTCCGGGCGGGGCAATGCGAGGGGGCGGGGCGAGGCCTGGGAGGGGCAAGGGCCACAGGGAGGGGCCACGAGGGGAGGGGCCAAGTGGGGCGGGGCACGGGGCGGGGCCACATGGGGCGGTCCTGTGTTTGGGCAGGAGAGGGGACTGAGTGGGAAGGGGGCCCTGTGAGGGGAGGGGCGGTGTGGGGGTCGGGGGCGGGGTTCAGGGTGAGGCTGTCAAGAGTGGGCTAGGGGAGTGGGGGGTCCCTAGGCAGGGGATAGGGTGGGGCTCCCCTGCGGAGGTGGGGCCTCCATACACGGGGTTGGGGGCTCTGCACCCCGTGGCTGGGGCCAGTCTGAGCCCCACAGCTGAGCCTGGGGCTCTCCTGCACAGCAAGGGGTTGGGGGGACCCTGGGGGACCCCCAGAAGGTTAGAATCTGTATGGACTCTCTGGACCCAAGACACTGCTCTCTGGGAACTGAGAGCAAACAAATACTCAGGGGCCACCACCTCTGTCCCAGGTGGCAGAGATGGGGTCCCAGACGCTGGGAGACAGGAGCCCCCACCCCACCCTAAGGGCTGGGCGGCAGGTTCTACCACCTCAACCCCCAGACAGGTGGCCAAGTCAGGGTAATTCATTCGTATTTTCCCTGTCTGTCAGTCAGTCTGTCTGTCTGTCTCTTTCTCTCTCTCCCCCCCCTTCCTTCTTCCTACCTACCTTTTTTGTTGTTTTTGCTTGCCTTGTTTTACACTTATTTCTTATTTATTTTTTGAGATAGAGTCTGGTCCCATAGCCAGGCAGGCCGGGGCCTCCTGAGTGCTAACCTAGCCTGTCCCTCCACACCACCTTCACCATACCAAGCCTGAGAACATAAATGTAAATCCATTAAAATTAGGATTTGGGCTGGAGGGGGTGGTGAAGGCAAAGGATAGCCCTGAGCTCAAACACCAAAACCCCCACAAAAAATGGAAACACACTGGGGGGCTGGAGGTGCAGCTCAGTCCAGAGTGCTTACCAGCATGAGGACACAGGTTCACTCTCAGCACCAAAAAAAAGGAAAAAGATTTTTAAAAAAGCAAGTTTCAGTCACACCAGCTCTGTTTCTTTTTCATCTTTTTTTTTCTTTTTGCCGGTCATGGGGCCTGAACTCGGCCTGGGTGCTGTCTCTCGGCTCTTCAGCTTAAGGCCAGTGCTCTACCACTTTGAGCCACAGCCCCACTTCCAGCCTTTTCTGCTTATGTGGTGCTGAGGAATCAAACCCAGGGCCTCATGCAAGCAAGGCAAGCGCTCTACCACTGAGCCACCTTCCCAGCCCAACCAGCTCTGTTTCAAAGTGCTGATTTGCCAGTTAGGGACTCCATGGACAGCGTACACACACACACACACACACACACACACACACACACACACACACACACACACACACACACACTCCATGGACAGCGTACACACACACACACACACACACACACACACACACACACACACACACACACGGAACATTCCAGAATGTTCCACCCTACAGGGAGCTCCATGGCTGCTCATGTGATTCTGGAAGGGATGTGGATTGAGTCTCTCCTGGGAAGCATCACTGTGCCCCAATCAGGCAGAATGCCAAAACACAAATGTTCTGGTCCCTTCTATAAGATGGTATGATGCCTGCAAAGACTTTCCAGACATCACTACAGGACTGAGATTATGTGAACACAATGGAAGCACAAGGGAAAAGGCTATTACACTGTATTGCCTATAGAAAAAAGGACAACATCCTGACTGGGCACTGTGGCACATGCCTCTAGTCCCAGCTACTTGGGAGGCTGAAAGAGGAGGATTATTTGGAACCAGCATGGGCAACATAACGGCTTCCATCACCCCAAAAAGAAGAGAAGCTGGGCCGGGAGCCAGAGGCTCACGCCTGTCATCCTAACTACTCAGCAGAATGAGATCTGAGGATCGAGGTTCAAAGCTAGCCCAGACAGGAAAAGTCTGTGAGACTCTAATCTCCAATAAACCACCAGAAAACCGGAAGTGGCGCTGTGGCTCAAGTGGTAGAGCGCTCGCCCTGAGCTGAAGAGCTGAGGGACAGCACCCAAGCCCAGAGTTCAAGCTCCACGACCAACAGAAAAAAAAAGAAGAAAAGAAAAGAAGCTGGGTGCGGTGGTTTGTGACTGTAATCTTAGTTACTTAGGAGGTGAAAATCTGAAGGATTGTGTTTTGAAGCCAGCCCCAAACAAAAAAAGCCCATGAGTCTCCAACTCCAAAATAACCAGCAAAAAGTCAGAGTGTAGGCATGGCTCAAATGGTATGATGCTAGCTGAGAAGCACAGGCTCTCAGCTCAAACCCTGGTGTGATGCCACACATTTCTAAGCCCAGCTACTCCGGAGGTGGAAGCAGGGGAGCACAAGTTCAAAGCCCACCTGGGCAGCGTTAGGAAGACTATCTCAGAAACAAAACATAAAGACTGAAAGGGCTGGTGTGTGGCTCGAGCGATGGCTTTCTTACCCCGCTGGAGACCCTAAGCTCCCTCCCTAGCAGCAGGAATGAATAAGTAAATTTTGTGCATGCTCAGAACAGACGCGGTTTGTTTTGAATGCGTTCAGTCTGCGGTTAGTTGATCTCTTGGATACTGAGCCCATGGCTGCCATGCTCAGTGCTGCCCATGGTTCCCCTCCCACCAGGGATTCCATCACCCGTGTCTGGGACCAGGCCCCGCTAGCCAAGTGAGAGCTCGCTAGTCGGCCGGCTCCGTACCTTGAAGGCCTCCCGCCGCTGGTATTCGAGCTTGGCCATCTCTTCAGCCACCCAGCCTGGGATGTCGGGGATAGCCACGTGGATGAGGTACTTGAGGAGCAGAGCGAAGTGCTACAGAGGGCAGAGAGGAGGCTGTGGGCTTCTGGACAACACCCCCCGCCCTCTCCCCACCCCCACCCCCCTGTCCTGTGCCCAGCTCCCGCCACCAGCTGCCATTCCCACCTCGAGCACCACCACGGACACAATGGCCGCCTCCGGGCTCAGCCAGGGGAAGAGGCGCTGCAGCTGACCGCACTGGCCGATGAGGTAGCAGTTCACCACGATGGCCAGCACGCCCATGGCCTCCATCACCTTCTGCAGGGGGGCAGGGGGTTTAGAAGGCCTCTGGTCCCGTGGGCCTCAGCTCCCAGCTCCCTCTGGGCTTCAGCCTCCTGCTGCTGCCCCCACCTGCCACTGGCCGATGCTCTCCACCCGCTGGCCGAAGGGCCGCTGCAGGCCTGTGCAGAGCTTGAAGGCATCGCTTCGGATCTCAATGAGGTTGTTAACCAGGGCACACAGCGCAGCCAGCGGGAAGGCTGAGGAGAAGAGCACGACGTAGCCAAACTGCACAAACATCTCCTGGTAGTCCTGAAATGTGTCCTGCGGGCAGGTGGCTGGCCGTCAGACCCACACACCTCCTCCCTCAGACCGCCTTCCTCCTCCCACCACACTGGGCTCCCTGGGATCTGACTCAGCAACGCAGAGGCCTCTGGTCCCACCTCTGGCCTCCACCCTCGCTCGGGCCGGGTGCCTGCCTCACCTCGTACTTCCTCATGCAGCTCTCCAGCTCGGCCTGGGTGAGCTGGGGTGAGTGCTCTTCTTCGGGAGGGTCAATCCATGAAGACCGGTTCTGCTTCCTGGGCCTCCCGGCAGAGTCCCCAGAGCCAGGTTCCAGGTCTGGGCCCCCGTCTGGCCCCTGATCCCGGCCCTCGCCCCCAGCCCGGCGAAGCAGGATGGTCGGGGGATCTTGGTCAGGGCTGCCAGGAGGCCCCTCCGTCTCGTCGTCTTCCTCTGCCAGTGTAAACACGCCTGGCTCCAGCCCCTTCTCCACCATGGTGGGGCTCCCCTCCTCCAGGGCTTCTGGGCTTGGGCCAGGCCGATGGCGGCCAGCCCCACGCTCAGCAAAGCTGACCTTCTTCAGCCGGAGTCCGCAGTCTAGGAGGCCCCCTTCCTCACCCTCGTCTTCATCCTCCTCCTCCTCTTCCTCTTCGTCATCCTCCTCCTCCTCTTCCTTGCCACCTCCAGGCCCATCCCTGGCCTCCCCACCTTCTCCCACTGGCCTCCGCTCTATGACCGCCTCTTCCTCCTCCTCCGGCGCCCCACAGCCCCCACTGAGACACCTGCGGCCCCCGCCACCGCCCTCTTCGGCTTGGGGCTCCAGGCGGTGGTGTGCTGGGCGCCGGAGGCTCAGGAGGCCAAGCACGGCTCGGAGGAGCTCCCAGACAGCCCTGAGTCCCAGCTCGCCACAGCCCAGCCGGCGGTAGAGGTGCGGCTGCAGGACCTCACGCACGTTCTGGAGGAACTGGCGGGTGATCAGCAGTGTGGCCAGCATCTGGACAGGAAGGGTGTGGAGAGCCTCCGTGGGCACCAGGGCAGATCACCCACTCTCTGAGGACAGCACCCAATGCTAGCATCCCCCCCCCTTCGGATGCCCTAGTATGGAGCCTGGCACCCACAGCACAGGAAGACAGTCTCTTGGCTGACCAGAAGCCAGGGCCCAAAACCTCATGGACCCCTTCTGCCTGCGTGGGTCCTGGGCCCAGCCCCTCCACGCATGCGCCATCAGCTCCATGTGCCCACCCCAAGCGCAGCCACTGCCCACCCGTACTTGGGCCCGGGCGGTGAGCAGGAGAACCCGGAGGGACAGGAGGAGCAGGTGTAACCTCAGGGCCACGAGCGGGACCAGCACAGCCCGCAGCTGCCGCTCAAGGCTCTGGGACAGGGACAGGACGAGCAGGAGCTGTGGATGGACCGACGGACAGATGGCGGGGCAACAGGCAGAGAGAGGACGCACGGACGGACAGAGAGGAGAGAAGGATGGAGGAGGGGGGGAGGGGCTGCAGAGCCCTAGACCCCTTGCACGGCCGGGCCCTTGGCGCCAGGCGGGCACTGGGGCGGGGCAGGCCGGAGTCTCACCTCTTTCAGGCGCTCCATGTCCTTGAGGTAGAAGCCAATGTAGAAGAGGCTCAGGTAGGAGTTGACAAACTGGAACTGCAGGAGGCAGTCTCCCATGGTCTCCCTGGTGGTGGCGGCCACCCCCGCCTCCCTGCCCCCCCTGCCCTGTGGCGGCCACTCACCAGGACAACCTTGATGATGAGATGCTTCTCGTAGGCGCTCTCTAGCCGGTAATTCTCTGGGGGCGGAGGAGGCACGTGAAGGGGGTCACCCTGGTCCCCAGCCCTAGCAGGCGCCCCCCAGGGTAGGAAGTCAGGCCCTGCAGGAAGGGCGTACCCATGTCGTTGAGCCAGATGGCCAGCTTCTTATAACCCTCGGCACTCACACTGACCAGCAGGGCCAACACAACCTTGGGCAGGAATCGGGCAAGGCGGGGCAGCCCCTTCATGCTCAGCACCAGCTCCTGCAGGGCAAGGTGTGCAGCCTTAGCTGGGGGAGGGGGGCTGAGGCGTCGGGCCAAGGCCAGGGCTGGGGACACGGGGTCACCTGCAGCTGGAAGCATCCGAGCATGAGCAGGAAGACGCAGGCCAGGCAGGCCAGGCACAAGGGTAGGCTCACGAGCAGCTGGAAGAGCAGCCGCTTCCAGGGTGGGTAGTAGAACTCCTCTGCCCGCGTCACGGGGCTGATGCGGCGCACACCCTGGCAGAAAGCAGGGGCCAGGCCGGCCTGAGGCCAGGGACCTGCCACTGCCCGGGCGTCCTCCCAACCTCCCATCTGCTTCCCTCTGCCAGACCTCTGCTCTTGGGGGGACTCCACCTTCCCCCAGAACTCCTCTGCAGCCTTATTCCACAGCTATCCGGCCTCACCCCACTTGGCACAGCCTCCCTTACCCTGACCCAGCCCCACACTGACCCTGAACTGAGGACGAGGCTCCTCCACAGCTTCTCCAGGAGAGTCTAGGGTCCCCCACTTGTAGGCCAGCTCCGCCCCCCTCCGTTTCCACTCCTCCAAGAACAGTGTTGACCAGATCACGTTGAAGAGAGCAAAGACCACACAGGACACATCCCGGCTTGTCTGCGAGTGGCAGAGAGCAGGGCCATTAGGCTAGCTGGCCCAGGGAGAAGGAGGCCCCCAGCCTGTGCCCAGTCCCCTCCAGGTACCTGGTCGGCCTCTGTAAACGTGTACAAGACAGAGCCAAAGACCGCCGGGTACACCATTGCTGAAGTGTAGAAGCCCAGCCACGCAAAATACATGGCAATCTTCACACCAAAGTAATCACAGATATCATCTGCCAGGAATGGGGGGAGGGAATAACCAGTCACTTTTACCTGCCTCCTGGGACCACTGCCCCTCCCCCAACCCACCTACTAGCTTAAGGCCACACCTAAAGGCTGGTTTTCACACACAGCCTGCACCCATGACTTCATGAGGCGGTTGAGGATGCGCTGCTCGTGGACAGGGAAGACCTGCTGGATGATCCCACGGGCAGCCAGCTCCGGGACTGTGGGGACAGGAGCACAGTGAGCCCTTGCCCTCTCCCAGGCTGCTGTCCTGGCCAATTCCCCCCCCCCACACACACACCCCAACAAAGGAGGAGGCACAGTCTGTGACCTGGCTCTTCCCAGCAGGGACATCCTGGATGGACACAAATATCCAACTCTCCTTAGAAACCAGGAGGAGCAGGGAAGAGTACAGAAGACCTTCTCTTCTTTTGTTTTTGATAGGGCCTTGTGCAGCCCAAGCTGGCCTGAAATAGTGTATGCAGCCTAGGCTACACACTTGCTATTCCTTGTTTTGTTTTGTTTTTTTGGTCAGTCATGGGGCTTGAACTCAGGGTCTGGGTGCTGTTCCTGAGCTCTTTGGCTCAAGGCTGTAACTCTACCAATTGGAGCCACAGCTCCACTTCCGATTTTCTAGTGGTTAATTGGAGAAAAGAGTCTCGTGGACTTTCCTGCCCGGGCTGTCTTTGAACTGTGATCCTCAGATCTCAGCCTCCTGTGCAGCTAGGATGACAGGAGGGAGCGACTAGCGCCCGGGTCAGGCGTCCTCTTCTTCATCTTCCTCAGTCGTGGAATTACAGGCATGTGCCAACCACCATACGCAGCCACCGTGTTTATGAAACACTGGCCTGAGTGTAGCCTGAATGTCTAAGGAGTGGTAGGAGGCTGGCATGGAAAGGTAAATTTGGGGCGGCTGGGTTCCTACAGGGGAAACCAAGGCCCCAGGTTGCTGCAGCACAGGCCATGGAGTGCTGCTGTCCATGGTCCTGTCCCTAGCCAGGGCTGACTCCGTCAAGGGGCTGAGCCAGGAGCTGCCATGGGTTAAGCCCCACCCAGTCACAAGCCACGCCCACCCACTCATTGGTCGACCTGCCCCGCCCCTGAGGGGTCACGCCCCTGCCCCTGCCCCTGATTGGCGGGCATGCTAAGCCCCGAATGGTTGGACCTAAGCCACGCCTCCCTGCCCAGTTAGTATCTCTAAAAGGCCGGCCCAACTTGTAGCCCAGGATTGGAGGGCAGGCCCCGCCTTGCTCACTGATTGGCTGGTCCTCCAGGAAGCGCACGTTGTGCAACGCCTCGCCTTGCTTGGCTCGCAGGTTCTGCAGCCAGAAGCGGATGATGCTCTGGCGTTCCTGCGGTGGAGAGGGTGGTGGAGTGGAGAGGGTGCGAGCCGGGGCAGCCCGCAGGGCGGGCCACGTGCGGAGGGGGCGGGGCGGCTCACCTGGGAGGTGAAGAAGCGCAGCTCACTCTCCACATTCTCATAAATGAAGTCCTCGTCGCAGGAGAAGCCCCGCGTGCCTCCTCCGAACTCGGCCTTGACGGCCTTGCGCAGGCCCAGCTCGTCCGCCCCTCGGAGCAGGCTGCAGGGAGGGCAAGGGAGGTGGGCTCGCGGGGTGGGCCCGGCTCACCGGGACGAAGGCCGCGTGGCTGGCCGAGGAAGGAGGGGCCGCCAGAGGCAGGGACTCGCCTCTCGTAGGTGGCGGTGACGAAGAAGGCATAGGCACGCGTGTGGCGGTGGTGGCGGACTTGCACGATGAGCTCGGGGATGCCCACGCGGATGTGGTTCAGCAGCCAGAGCAGCGTGTGGTCGTCGGTGGAGTCTGCGAGGGACAGGGCGGTGCGTGGGCGCGGGCCGGCCCGCCCTCCTCACGCCCGGGCGGCCCTGGGCGCCCCGTACCTGGGAAGGTCATCAGCACGTCGCAGTTCTCCGTGGGCACCGTCTTCATCCAGGCTTTGTGGGACACCAGGTAGCGCCCCGCCTGCAGAAGCCGCTTCCCGAACAGCTTATCTGGGGGCAGTGAAGGCCGGGCTCAGGGCCGCGCCCGGCCGCTCCGCACCCCAGCCCCCACCGGGCTCCCGGCGCGGCGTCCTGCCTGGCTCCGTCCCTCTCCGTCTGGCTTCTTCTCCGGTCTCAACGTCCTTGAGGAGCCCGGAGCGTCTCCGGGAACAGCCGCCGCCCCCCCCCCCCCGGGCTCCCTGCGAGTCTCACTCGGTCTCTACTCGGCCTCCGAAGCCACCGCAGACCGGCCACGCGTCCGCGCCGCAGCCGCGAGCTGGGTGCGGGGCTCACTCACTCCCACCACGCAGGCACTGAGGCCCCGAGCACGGAAGTCACGGGCCCAAGGTCACCCAGAGGATCCGGGGTTCGAACCCAGGGCCGTGTGGTCCCGAACGCATCCCTGTCCCCCCGCGATCACGAAGCCCCGGGGCGTCGGAGCCAGGCCCGGGCGACGGCTCTCCGGGGCGCGTCCCCGCCCCGAGCCCGCCCCGGCCGGGCGCAGCCGCGGAGCCAGCCGGGCCCGGGCGAGCGTCCCCGCCCTCCCCGCCCCGCCGGCGGGCGGCGCACCTGGGCACCCGCGAGCCCTCCGGGTCCGGCCGCCGCACACGTACCCAACACTCCAGACGCGGGGGTTGCGGGCTCGCCCTCGGGCGGCGGCCGCTTGCCTCGCTCCGCTTCCAGCGACGAGCCCCCGGCGCCCGAGGCTGACTCGGCCATGGTGAGGACGGGCAAAGGTTAGGGGCTGCGGGCGGCCCGGGCGCCGGGGATCGGCGGGCGCATGAAGCCGGGGCGGCCGCCGAGCGTGCGGGAGGAGGAGACAAAGGCCGCGCCCGCCCGCCCGCGGTCCCCGGGAGCCCGAGCGCCGCAGCTGCTCGTCCCCGCCCGAGCCGAATCTCTGGGCTCCGTCGTCCTCCGCGCGGAAGGCTGGTCCTAATCCGACCCGCCCGCCGCGCTCTCCGGTTCCCGTCCCCGCCCGCGCGGTTCTCTCGGCCGGGCCGTTCCCGCGGGTCCGCGTCGGCCTCCGGGGTGGATTCTCCCGCCTGACCCCTCCCGGGTCACGGCCGGCCGCTGGTCCCGCGAGATCCCACTTCCTCGCAGGGACCCACTACAGGTGTCCACTGTGGCAGGCACCGGTTCCCAGCCGGGCGCCGGGGCTCACGCCCGTCACCCGCCACGCGGGAGGCTGAGGTCAGAGCCAGCCCGGCCGGGAACGTCCGCGAGGCTCTCATCGCCCACGAACCACAAGACGACAACTGCGAAGCTGCGCTCCAGTGGGCGCCAGCCTTAAGCAATCAGCGCAGGGACAGCGCCCAGGCCCTGAGTTCAAGCCCAGGACGGACTAAAAACGCTTTTCTCAATTCCAGGTGGATGACCATTGCTGGACTTGGTTACACTAAGACGCTGCTCCTCCCTTCATTGAAATTCGTGTTGAACTGAAGGAAGCCCCCACGGAGGCGGGGCGGGCGCTGGGAGGAGACAGAGCGAGGGGCGAGGCCGGCCGGCCCTCGACCCTGCGCCCGTCTGGTTCCCAGTGCCCGGGACACAGCGGATGTAGCTCGCTTCTTCGCAGATGGAACCCGCGGAGACGGGGTTTGTCACGCTGATGGTTCCCCAAGAGTTGGTGCGCCGCCCGCCCGCGTGCCGCCGAGGCCCAGAACCAGAGAGACGCCGGCGCCCGGAGCCCCGCCCACCCGCCCGGAAGGCCGCGCTGGGCTCGGCGCCCGACTCCGCGGCCGAGCGGCGCCCGGCGAGGCCCGGGCGGGGGCGGGGCACCGAGACCGGCCAGACCCTCGGCCTCCCGGGGCCGGACGGCGGGCCCGAGGACGCGCTGGGGCTGCGCGGCGTCCCAGGCCGAAGGAAGGGCTGAGGAGGGCACCGCAGGCCGGGGCTTCCCGGCGCTCCTCCCCGGGCCGGGGCGCGGGCCTCTCGGAGCGCGGCCCCGCTCTTCGGAGTGGACGGGCGGAGCACGCGGCGCCCAGCCCTCACCCACGGCCACTTCCCCCACCCGCGACGAGCTCGGGCCGCCGCAGGCCCCGACGGTAAAAACTCCGTCTAATGTCCTCGCGTCGCTCCCACCCCGCCGAGCCGCCGTCTTCCGATACAGCCAATAGAAACAAAGGCCTCCGACCGGTGGGCGGGATCTCTCTGAGTAGCCAATAGCAGCTGAGAATCTTTAGCCCTCCACCAATTACGCGGAGAGGTGGGCGGAGCCCCCCGCCAGACCCGAAGCTTCCCGAGGAAGCGGGGCGGCGCGCGGCGCGTCGTGAACCCATGTGGCGGCGGCTGTGGGCCCCGGCGGCCCGGGCGGCCCGCGGGCCCGGCAGGTGAGGCGGCCTCGCGGACGCGGGCCGGGGAACGGGGCCCGAGGGCGGCCCGCGGCCCCACCCCACGCCTCGGGCTCTGCGGCCCGGCTCCCTCGGGCCGCTGCTCTGGGTCCCCCGCCCCTGCCTCAGTTTCCAGTCCGCGTCACCCCGCCCCGGGCACTGCGGGCCGCCTCCTAGTCCCCAACCCGTGCCGCCCGCAGCCGCAGAGCCCCCGCCCCGGGACGCGCCGGGCTGCGCACCGCCGCCCCGTCCTCCGGCGCCACCATCTTCGCGCTGAGCTCCGGCCAGGGCCGCTGCGGCGTCGCCGTGATCCGGACCAGCGGCCCGGCCAGCGGCCTCGCCCTGCGCAGCCTCGCGGCGCCCCGGGCGCTGCCCCCGGCCCGGAGCGCCCGGCTGCGCCGCCTCCGCGACCCGCGCTCCGGGGAGCCGCTGGACCGCGCGCTCGTGCTCTGGTTCCCCGGTGAGGCCCCGGCCCCGGCGCCCGCCTCGGCCTCCGCCCGGCCCCCGCGCCCGCCTCGGCCCCCGCCGGGGACCCCGCGCCCGCCTCGGCCCCGACCTCTTCTTGTCACTCTAGGTCCCCACAGCTTCACCGGCGAGGACTGCGCGGAGTTCCACGTGCACGGCGGCCCGGCCGTGGTGAGCGGCGTCCTGCAGGCCCTGGGTGAGTTCCCGGCTGGGTTCGAGGCCCGGCTCTCCCCGTGGGCCCGGGCGGGGGTCTCAGGACCCGCGCGGCCTTCCCTCAGGCAGCGTCCCCGGGCTGCGGCCGGCTGAGGCCGGGGAGTTCACCCGCCGCGCCTTTGCCCACGGGAAGCTGAGCCTGACGGAGGTGGAGGGGCTGGCGGATCTGATCCACGCAGAAACCGAGGCGCAGCGGCGACAAGCCCTGAGACAGCTGGACGGGGAGCTGGGCGAGCTCTGCCGCCGCTGGGCAGACACTGTCACCAAGGCAAGCCCCCCAAGACTCCACTTCCCCGTTCCCCACCCTCCAACCTCGCCTTTTGCTGGGGTGGCGGGAGCCCTGGACCAGGCAGTGCCAGCCCTCCCTGTGCTGTACCTGGGCCAGGGGCACATGAGAGACAGCGTGGGGGCTCCTGAGCTGTCCTGATGCCCCCCTAGGCTCTGGCCCACGTGGAGGCCTACATCGACTTTGGGGAGGATGACAACCTGGAAGAGGGTGTGCTGGAGCAAGGTGTGTTCTTGGCCCGTTCTGGGGAGGTGGCGGTGGCTGACACTTCAGCTCCCAAGGATCCTTCTGACCCCCTTCCCCACACCCAGTGGACAGTGAACTGCGGGCACTGGAGGCAGCACTGGGCGCCCATCTGCAAGATGCCAGGCGTGGGCAGAGGCTGCGCTCAGGGGCTCATGTGGTGGTTGCTGGACCTCCCAACGCGGGCAAGAGCAGCCTGGTGAACCTGCTCAGTATGTCAGAGGTGGGGCGGGGCCTGGGCCTGGGCCTGGGTCTGGGTGAGGCCAGGAAGTAGAGGCTGAGCTGTCCAAAGGTCTGTCTGGAAGAGGAGCTCTAGGGGTTACCCTGTCCCCTTCCTTCCTCAGGCCAGAAGCCTGTGTCCATCGTGTCCCCAGAGCCGGGAACTACTCGAGACGTGCTAGAGACTGCAGTGGACCTGGCTGGGTTCCCTGCGTTGCTGAGCGACACGGCAGGGCTGCGGGAAGGCGTGGGACCTGTGGAGCAGGAGGGCGTCAGACGTGCACGGGAGAGGTGGGCAGGCAGGGCTGTGGGAGTGGTGCAGGCCTTTCCTCTACCTTTTTTTTGGGGGGGGGGGGGTCCGGTCGTGGGGCCTGAACTCTGGGCCTGGGCGCTGTCCCTCAGCTCTTCAGCTCAAGGCTAGCGCTCTGCCACTTGAGGCACAGCGCCACTTCCAGCTTTTTTCTTTTTTTTTTGCTTATGTAGTGCTGAGGTATTGAACCCTGGGCCTCATGCATGCAAGGCAAGCACTCTACCACTGAGCCACCTTCCCAGCCCTCCTCTATCTTTTCTTTCAGTGCATTTTTCATCTTTCCTAAGTCAGAAAATGCTAGTAGGTTCTCTGAAGACCCTCAGTGATGTGGTTCTGATTAAAGCTATGCTAGGTGCCTGTGGCTCATGTCTATAATCCCAGCTACTAAGGTGGCTGAGATATGATGATCGTGGTTCAAAGCCAGCCTGGGCAGGAAAGTTCATGAGACTCTTTTATCTCTAATTAACCACCAAAAAGTGGGAATTGAAACTGTAACTCAGGTGGTAGAATGCTAGCCCTGAGCAAAAGAGCTCAGGGATAATGCCTAGGCCTTGAGTTCAAGCCTTAGGACTGGTATACATACAATATGTTAATATCCTCTGTGTGTGCGCGCGTGTCCGGCGTGCCTGCCTGCGTGAGCATGCACCAGCCTCAGGGCTTGAACTCGGGGCCTGGGTACTGTCCCTTAGCTTTCTCACTCAAGGTTGGTGCTCTACCACTTGAGCCACACCTCTACTTTGGCTTTCTGGTAGTTAATTAGAAATAAGAGTCTCAAGTCTCACGGAGTTTCCTGCTCAGGCTGGCTTTGAACCTGGATCCTCAGATCTCAGCCTCTGCGTAGCCACCACCCTGGGGCAAATGTGTCATCCTTCCTCACTGCCCCTTGCCTCCCCTTCCAACCACAGGCCTGGCCCTGATTAACTGTGCCACGCCCCTGAGCTCTGCCCAGGCCTTTAACTCTGAGTGCACCACTGTGCTCCCCCTCCTGTGCCCCCAGGTTAGAGGAGGCTGACCTCATCCTGGCGGTGCTGGACATCTCTGACCTAGCTTCTCCCCAGAGTCGCGATTTTCTGGACAGCATCATCACCCCCCACGGAGCTCAGGGCCTCACTGGTAGTGGCCAGCGCCTCCTGCTGGTCCTGAACAAATCTGACCTGCTGCCCCCTGAGGGTCAGGGTTCCCGTCCGTCCCTGCCTCCCTATCTCCTGCTGTCCTGCCGCACTGGAGAGGGTCTGGGCTGCCTCCTGGAAGCCCTGAAGAGGGAGCTGGCTTCAGTGTGAGTCTCCCCTGAGTCACCGATGGGGGTGCTGCCTGGCCCAGAGCCTCAGTTTCCTTACCTGTAAAGCAGCTACAGGCACTCCTCTTCGGTAAGGGCTAAGGGAGATCGCGGGTCTTGTCTCTGCAGGTGTGGGGACCCAGCCAGGGGCCCACCGCTGCTCACACGAGCCAGGCACCACTACCACCTGCAGGGCTGCCTGAAGGCCCTGGGCCACTACAAGCAGGCAGGAGACCTGGCCCTGGCGGCTGAGGCCCTGCGCGTGGCCCGGAAGCACCTCGCCCACCTCACCGGTGCAGGGGGCACAGAGGAGATCCTGGACGTCATCTTCAGGGACTTCTGCGTGGGCAAGTGAAGCCTCATCAAGGCCCGCTGCGGTCCTCATGCCCCTCAGGCTGTGAGCTCCCTTCGGGCCCTTGCGGGCATTGCGGGTGTGGTGCTGGTGTCCCCAGGATTGTGCATGCTCCGCACATGTACCCCTCTGAGCGGTACCCCAGCTGTGTGTGCCTGTGCGTTGGGTGGGGAGGGAATTCTGCCTCAGTCTCAGGAGAGCATGAGACGCTGAGTGGAGGCCCACAGGACACAGGTCTGCCGTGGGCTCCTGACCGGGCTCTGTCCAGGGCCCCCTCTGCAGTGGACACCATGAAGGACCGACACCAGACACCCAACAGCCTGGTTCCTGCCTGCCCCTCCCCAGAGGCACACATCCCGCCGCAGCCCTGGGCCTCCACCCTGAAAGGAAGGTGTTTGGGGAGCCTGAGGTAGCAGTGAGCAGCCAGCAGAGGGCACCCCATCCACACTGGAGGCGCCCGGCCTGCCGTGGAGAACTCCCTCACGGAGGTTCCTGCAAAGCCTGCATGCAGAGGGGTGCTCCGGCCGCAGCGGGGCGTCTTGCTGGTGCTCACTCCTCTGGCAAATAAACTGACACCTGAGAAGGAGGGCTTGGCTGCGTCCTGGGCCGGGTGCGGGTGCGGTGGTGCCGTGGTGAACACAGCCTGGCGCAATGGGGCCCTCGGTTCTGACCCAAGGCAGAACAATAGAATGTGGTGGGCTGCGGGGGGGGGGGGGGGGGGGGGCTGCAGTGCACACAGCTGGACCCAGGGCCCGGTTTCCAAGAAGACCCGGTGGCTTGTGGGAAGCAGCAGGGGATATTTATAGAGGTCACAGGAAATCCCCTGAGCAGCGTGGGGTCAGGAATCTGCCAGTGTCTCCTGGCTGACTCCTCGGCCCTCCACCAGCCCGCAGAGGGCACCAGCCTGCACCACAGCTGCAGGGCACTGCCCAGCCGGCCAGTGGGGCTGCCTGGAAGAGGGGTCTCCAGCTGGCCCCTGGGAGTCTCCACCTAGACAAAGGGCGTCTGAGTGGCCGTACCTCTAACTCTGCCCTGAAGAGGCAGGAGCAGCTGTTGCAGAGCCCACAGGTCCTGTGTTCCAGACGTGTCCAGACTCAAATCTCGGCATGGTCTGTTTCAGCCCATTTTCTCACAATCAGAAAGAAAAGGGAAAGGACTGGAAAAAGCAGATTTGAGTCTGCTGGGATCGTCCACACGGACAGTCCAGTGGGAGAGCCACGTGGACACCTATGCAGGGTGGGGCACGGGTGATGGAGCGTGGAGGGGTGGGCGAAGGGGCATGGCCAAGTCCTGCCATGGAAAGGGCCGGGCCAGGAGCTGTGCCGCAGAGAGAAGAGGCGCCAGGGCTGGGCCGTGGGGTCTGGCAGAGGGCCGCCAGGCCCTGGGATGCTCTGGGTGACAGACGGGTTGTGGGGCCGACGCTGCTGTGGGGGGACCTTCGGGATATCGTGACTTATCTGGAGATGGCATCTCCCTCGGGCTGTGGTGAGCCTCCAGCTTTAGGGTCACCAACACATTTCTTGGATGAGAAGTTAGGCTGCTTGGCTGAGCCCAGACTCAAACCTCAGATGTGTAACTCCAGGGCCCATAACCAGCCTGGCCAGCATCCCGGGGCCGTCTGGGCCTCTGGCCCAGGGTCAGAGACGCCCTCATTTCCCTGGGGCCTCTGGCGGCTGCGGGAGGTGAGGCCTGGCCCGGCTGAGCCCCAGCCAAGTGCTTCCTGCAGGACGTCTCGCAGTTTCCGTACACCGGAAATAGCGCCTGGTCCCCCCAAGATGGGCCTGGCCTGAGTGCTGGGCTGGGCTGGGGCTGCTCCCGAGCTCATCCTGGCCCTGTGGGGCCCAGGGAGTGGATCGCACCATGATCTTCCTCCTTTATAGAGCCTCTCTCCATACGGCCATTGGCTTTGTCTCCTGCGCTTTTTACTTCTCAAGGATAGAGATCCCAGACGCTGGGTCACTTGGCCTAAGACTACTTTGTGACAGCCTCACTCTGCGGCCCACGTGGTCTGAAACTTGGGATCCCCTGCCTCAGGCCCCTGTGACCACAGGTGTGGCCAACGCCTATCAGGGCCACAAAGGGCAGACAGCCTGTGGTGAGCCCGGTTTCTTCAGGGCCTGGGCGCTGTCTCTGTCCACTCAGGGCTAGTGTTCTACCATGTAAGCCACAGCTCCACTTCAAGATAAACAGTCTCATGAATTTTAATGCCTATCATGACTATGAATACATTTCTGATTTTCCTTTTTTTTGCCAGTTCTGGGGCTTGAATTCAGGGCCTGGGCACTGTCCCTGAGCTTCTTTGACTCAAAGCTAGCGCTCTACCACTTAAGCCACAGCGCCACTTCTGCATCTGTGTATGTGGTACTGAGGAGTCGAACCCAGGGCTTCACGCATGGGAGGCCAGCATTCTACCGCTGAGCCACCTTCCCAGCCCCGCATTCCTGCTTCTTGTAAGAAATGCACGGTCGGGCATGGCAGCCACTCCTGTGACCCCGTGGCCAGGGCAGAGGCAGACTGGCCAGAGGCCACAGCCTCTCTCTGGCACTTGCTGACGGGCTTGACTCAGTTCCCCTGTACCTGTCCAGGTGCCTGCAAGTTGGGGGTCATGAGGGTTGCCCCAGTTTCCTGGTTCGCTTCCCTCCAGTGCTGTGGCCTTCAGAGCAGAAGTTACCACATAGTAAGGGATTTGCTACTGTTTATTAAGTGCTGGGAGGAGGGAGGTTCCTCAGGGCTCCTCTGAGACCCTCATGCCAGACCAGATCCTCCTGGCAAGGGGTTCTGGAAACTCTCAAGGGGGAGCCTGGAAACCTTCAAGAAGGGCCTGGAAACTGGAGGAGGTGGAAGCCAATGGCTTCCTGTTCTCGCCTCCCCACCAGGCCCGGGAGATAAGGAAGCTGGGGGTGGGGTGGGACGGGGCTGTGCAGCAGGGGTGGGGGGAGGTACGTGTGAGGGCGCACCGCGGAGGCTGTGTCTGCTGCTGACGTCATGGCCATCGCGATGTGGTCACGGGATCGGATCCAGGGAGGGCGGCCCTGGCCCTGCGGGGTTCCTCAGCCACTGAGGCAGAGAGAAGGGATGTGGCTTGTCAGGACTGACTTCCCCGGCCCATCCTCCCAACGAGACCCCGCAGCCTCAGCAGGGGCTCCAGAAGTCTCCATCGACCCCCCCAGACCCTCTGGCCTGAGTGGGGGGGCCCCAGAACTCACAACTTGCCCTTTGTGGACAGACAACAGGGCTGGCTCGTTCCTAGCGGGCATGCCCAGCTGCTGCACCCTCCAGGGATCCCAGAGCCCTCAGAAAAGGGGGGGACTGGCACATGAGGTCCTCCCAGCCAGGGAGTCACCGTCCCATCCCAGAGCCCCCCATCTCCGCGTGGCTTCAGCTTCCGTCCGCCCCTGAGGCCTGGCACGAGCCCCCTCCTCCCCCCAGAGGGGCTGGGGCTGCTTCCTGGTGGGGGAGGAGGGCCCAGGGGCCAGGTCCTGCTTCCGTGCCCCCTCCCTTCCTTCCCTGCTGGTCCCTAGGGCCCCCTGGGCCTCACGTTCCATCTAGAGCTGGCAGAGCTCCCCTCCCTGGCTCCGAGCCCATGCTCCTGAAACCCAGCCTGTGCCCACCGCAGCGGGCTGCCCTGGCACCGCAGCTCTGCTCAGCTAGGCCTTCCCTCATGCGCCCCAGTTTGAGCTTGGCCATCGGAGAGAGCCCGGGACCAGCCTACGACTGGCGGTATGTCCTGGCCTCCTGTGCACCGGAGTTACAGGACAGCCACCAATTCTGTGGAGTGTTTTTAACTTTAAAGTGTGTGTCCAAACTGCAGCCACTCTATATATTGCTTTTTTTCTTTGTTGGTCATGGGGCTTGAACTCTGGGCCTGGGTGCTATCCCTCAGCTCTTCAGCTCAAGGCCACGCTCTAACACTTGAGCCACAGCACCACTTCCAGTTTTCTAGTGGTTTATTGGCGATAAGAATCTCACAGACTTTCCTGCCTTGGCTGGCTTTGAATCGCGATCCTCAGATCTCAGCCTCTTGAGTAGCTAGGATGACAGGCGTGAGCCACCGGCACCCAGCTATACTACCTTTATTTTATATATATATATTTTTTTTGGGGGGGGGGTTAGTTGTGGGGCTTGAACTCAGGGCCTGGGCACTGTCCCTGAGCCTCTCTGTACTCAAAGCTAGCACTCTACAACTTGAGCCACAGTGCCACTTCTGGTTTTGGAGTGGTTAATTGGAGAGATGAGTCTCATGGGAGCCGTGGCTCTCATCCTAGCTACTAAGGAGGCTGAGATCTGAGGATCACAGTTTAAAGTCAGCCTGGGCAAGAAAGTCCATGAGACTCTATCCAATAAACCACCTGAAAAACAGAAGTGGTGCTGTGGCTCAAGTGGTAGAGGGCTCACCTTGAGCTGAAGAGCTGAGGGACAGCACCCAGGCCCAGAGTTCAAGCCCTATGACTGACTAAAACAAAAAGTCTCACCGGGACTTTCCTGCCCAGGCTGGCTTTGAGCTGTGATCAGCTTTGAGGCTATCTTAGCCTCCTGAGTAGCTAGGATGACAGGCGTGAGCCACCAGCACTCAGCTATAATAATGAACTTTAAGCTGTCTAGGGGACATAGCTCCAGCAGGTAACGTGGTGTATGCCAGTCACAGCAGAGGATGTCTCCATGTCCAGGGAGGTGGTGCCTCGGCCCAGACCCCTGATCCTGCTCAGCAGGGGGCAGAGGCCAGAGGACAACATTCCAGACCACCCCCAGCACACATCCAAGACCTGAACCAAAACACAGCTAACATCACAAAAAGGCTGGCAAAAGCCTTGACTTCAAAGCCCAATGCTACAAAACTGTCCAACGAGGAAGAGCCCCAGGTCAGATTGTGGAAAAGCACAGGCTGGGGACGGGGAGGACATGGGGAGCTGGGGGCTGGGGCCTCCTCCCGGCTCAGGCCCGTGAAGGAGTGCCGGGCTGGGACCTGGCCCTGCGGTGAGCCATCAGGAGTTGATGTGTTTAGTTGGGTTCTGCAGGCACAGCTGCTCTGGAGGCTGAGGCTAGAGACCCCAGGAACCCAGGAGTTCATAGGTTACCCCGGGCCACACAGTGGGGCCTGGTAAACTGGGCACTGAGCTTGGGCGGCTAGGGCTGGTCCCCTTGTTGCCCAGCAAGCCAGCAGTGTGGTCCTGACCCTGGGCCTCTCCCGCCCCTCCCTGGAGTCTAAGGCCAGACTGGGCCCTTCCTGCTACCCTGAAGGGAGACACAGGAGAGGCCAGGGACTAAGTGAGCATTGTTTTCTGGGCAAGGGACGTCATTCGGGGTAAACAATGTCAAGAGCTTCCCCGGTTCTCAGCAGGGACTGGGCAGGCCTGGGCTGGGAGCCCTGCCCTGTGCCTGACCCTCGGGGCCTCAGTTCCCAGCTCTGAGAAATGGGGCTAATAATAGAAGCTTTTCCTTGCCATGGGGCCCGCACGCCAAGCAGGAACGGGAAGCCATCCTCATCACTCACTCTCCTCCCCGCCGCCCTCCAGCCCCCAGAGTGGCCCTGGGCAGCGCAAAGGGGCGAGGGGCAGTTCTGGGCAGGCCAGAGGGTCAGGGGCCACTCTTAGCACAAGGGGGGCTGAGGCAGTAGCAGGGGTGAAGAGCTAGCGGAGGCCACAGCATCTCCCTGGAATGCAGGTCAGCGACCCCGTCAGTGTGGAGCTGAACAGGAGCCAGGACCTGGGGGGGCACAGGGTGACCTCGGGCAGTGGCCTGAGTCACCCACTCTGTGACGTACAAGCTGTGCCCAGCGGACGGCCCGTTGGCCAGAGATGAGGTGGTGCGGACGCCGGGGCTGGGGGGCACGCCCTTCAGGCGCGCCCAGGCCCTGGGCCTTTCTTAGGCCAGGCTTCACCGCGCAGCCCGGCAGGTCTGGAACCTCCACCCTCTCTCTCCCCCTTCCCAATGTCTGGCACAGCCGGCCACGACTCCCATTTGTGTGGAGATGAAAAGTCAGCCTCAGTGGTCAGATGTCGCACTCGGCTCTGGCTGCCTCCCTGCTCCTCCCAGGCTCTGGGCCTTTGTCCTGGCTGTTCCTGCAGCCCGGAGGACTGTCTCCCAGTTCTTAGAGGGGGTGCAAAGCCAGCTGGTCATGATGGCCATGCCGCTCGCAAGGCTGAGGCAGGAGGAAGGCTGGCCCGGGCTACACAGTAAAACCTCCTTAAAACAGAAAAAAGAAAGAAAAGCCGGGTGCTGAGGGTCATGGTTCAAAACCAGCAGGGGCAGGAAAGACCATGAGACTCATCTCCAATAAGCCACTCAGAAAACTGGAAGTGGCGCTGTGGCTCAAGTGGTAGAGTGCTCACCTTGAGCTGAAGAGCTGAGGGACAGCGCCCAGGCCCAGAATTCAAGCCCTGCAACAGACAAAAAAAGAAAAGAAAAGAAGCCACCACCGGAGGCTCACGCCTGTCATTCCAGCTACTCAGGACGCTGAGATCTAAGAGGACTGACAATCAAAGACAGACCAGGCAGAAAAATCCACACCAGATTATCACCAGCTAATCAGCAAAAAAAAGGTCCAGACTGGAGGTGCGGCTCATGTGGTAGAGCACCAATGAAGAGCAGAAGAGCCAAATGAGAAAGGGAGGCGCAGTATCAGCGCACATGCCCAAAAGCAAAGCAACCGTGGGTTCGCAGCAGATGCCTGATCCCCGGGGGCTCGAAGCTTGCCTTGTCCACGGCTGGGCCTGCTGGGTGTGCCCTGGGCAGAACTGGACATGCCCACAACAGCAACTAGACCTCCTATGCCCTGCACAAGCCCTGGCAGACAGGAGATGCTCAGGAAGGAAGCAGTCACTCTGAGAGCTGCCTCTCTTGGGCCTTCTCTCGACTGCGGCGTGAGAGCAAACACTTCAGCCTCCATGGGCCTCACCTGGCGGGGGCTGCAGGAGGCCGGTAGGACTGCAGGACCTTCTTCCTGAAGTCTTCCAGGCTGGCTGGGTCTGTGTGGGCAGAAATGAAGCTCAGCTCCCTCCGGTGGCCCCCGTGGCTCTGGGTGGGAGGACCCCATCCTGACCCCTCCCTGGGCACTCACCGATGGGTCGCGGCTGGGGGGCGGGGGCTACGGGTCTTGGCAGGACCACCGGCGGGGTCTGTGGAAGGAGAAGGAGTGTTGGAGCCACATTGGGGGGTGTCTTCCCCTTGGTGCCCCTAGGAGACCACTTGTCCTGTTTCCCCCCAGCGCCCCTAATAACTCCAAGCCAGGGGGCGCACAGGGAGCCTGAGCTGCAGAAACAACTGTGGGATTGAGAGGGGTCAATAACAGGTCACCCCGGCCTCCATTCTCCGGACCCTCAGGGCCTCCACTCAACTCTACCCCAAAAGGTCTGTTCTCTGTTCCAGTCCCGGCCTCCCCCGCCCCCCGGCCCCGGCCTGCGGCCCACCTTGGCCTTGAGGCAGGTGTCCAGGGCGTCCACCCGGAAGGCCACCTGCATCTTCAGCTGGTCCACCTCGCGCCTGCGCGCCTCCAGCTCGCGGGCCAGGCGGTCGCGCTCGGCCTGCAGCGCCGCCTTCTCCTCCAGGGCGCGCTGGGCGCGCTGCGCGCACTCGTCCCGCAGCCGGGCCTCGCGGGCCTGCGCCTCCTTGTCTGCCTTCGCCTGGGCCTCCAGGCCGGCCCGCAGGTCCTGCTCGGCCGCCAGCTTCTGGCGCTCCAGCTCCGCGTTCTCGCGGGCCACGCGCTCGATGCCCGCGCGCAGGCCCCGCGCCAGCTCGTCCACCTTGGTGGCCATGAGGCCGGGCAGGAGGTCGCAGCTGCGGCGCACGGCGGCCAGCTCGGTGCCCAGCGAGTGGTACCCGAAGGCCAGGGTGTCCAGCGTGCGCGGGATGATGGAGTCCCGCCACAGGGCGCGGAGGTCGGCCTCGAACTTGTCCTTGTCCAGCGCCAGGCACAGGCCCTGCACGGTGCGCAGCCGCTCCTCGGCGCGCCGCGCCTCCTGCTGCAGCCGCTCGCGCGCGCCTGCGCACTGCGCCAGCTGCTCCGCGGCCGCGCGCTGCGCCTCCTCCAGCGCCGCGCGCTCCTGCGCGCCCGCCACGCGCGCCCGCGCCAGCTCCGCCTCCAGCGCGCCTGCGCGGGCCTCCAGCTTGTGCCGCAGGGCTGGGGGGGGAAGGGCAGGGGCCGAGGTGGGGCGGGGACCCCATTCCCTGCCCTCCCTGACCCCGCTCCCCTCCCCCCCGACCCTAACCCCCTCCCCATTCCTTCCTCCACCCCCCTCCCCACCCCTCCCCTGCACAGCCCTGACCCTAACCCCCCTCCCCACCCCTCCCCTGCACAGCCCTGACCCTAACCCCCTCTCCCCACCCCCCCTGCACAGCTCTGACCCAACCCCCCCTCCCCACCCTTCCCCTCCCTCCCTCTTCCCCTTCCTCCCTCCTTCCCTCCCCACCCTTCCCCTCCCTCCCTTCTTCCCTCCCTCCCTCCCATCGTGTCCTCCCTGCAGCCCACCTTCGCAGCTCTTGTTTCCCTCCTTCAGCTCCTCCAGGCACCGCTGTTCACTCAGGACCACCGCGACCACAAACTCCTCGTTGTTTCTGTAGTTGACCTGCAAGGGTGGGCAGGGCCCCCGCTCAGCACTGACCCCAGAGGGAGACCAGGGGCCCCATCCACTCAGAGCAGTTCACCTGGGCCAGCTCGGGTGCGGACTGTAGGGACTGGGGGTCTGGGGGCCCTGGCACAGGAAGCCGTGGGCCCACTATGTAGGCAGAGGTGGGAGCATCTGGGAGCCTGAGGAGGCCCCACCACAGAGCAGCACTGAGCTCAAGCCCTAGTGCCCCAAAGAGACACGGAGCCCACAAAACTAGTGACGCAGGGGTGGAGGCTGCACCTGGGCCCAGCGCTTGGAGGCTGAGTCAGGGGGCCCTGAGTTCTAGACCAGCCTGGGCAGCACAGGGAGACCCTGGCTCAAAACACCTGACTCTTTACTCTGGCCTTGGGCGCTGTCCCTCGCTTTTCCGCTCCACCACTTGAGCCACAGCTTCACTTCTGGCTCTTTTTTTGCTTTGTTTTGTTTTGGTAGTTTAGTGGAGGTGGGAATGTCGCAGCTTTTCCTGCCCAGGCTGGCTTCAAACCTCGATCCTCAGACCTCAGTGGGATGACAGGCGTGAGCCGCCAGACTCTGATCTGCACTGCCCGCGCCTCAGGGGTGCGTCCTCCCCCTCCACCATTTCCATCGCTGGGGAGAGAATGAAGGTGCCGCAGCACCACTCAGGAGCCCAGAGAGGGAAGGAACCAACGCCGGTGAGGGAGGAGATGCAGCACCCCACTCAGCCGGCTGCGGACGCCCCGGGTGAGCCAGGGAGCACTCACGACGCTTCCTGCTTCTGCTCCCTGTCTCCGTGGCATGGGGAGCGGGGACACAGAGCCATGGCTGACATCTCAGAGGCTGCATTCAGAAATGCAGCTGCTTTTCCAGAAAACCCAGGGTGGGCGCAGCTTTGCGGTGACATCTGCCAAGTGTGCAGGAGAGCCTGGGGCCCAACGTCACCACCACTACCATCGGCACCACCACCACCACCACCACCATCAGCATTACCATCACCATCACCATCAGCATCACCACCACCACCACCACCACCACCATCACCACCACCACCACCATCACCACCACCACCATCACCATCAGCACCATCACCATCAGCATCACCACCACCACCACCACCACCACCATCATCACCACCACCACCATCAGTATCACCATCACCACACAAAGAAAGAAAGGGAGAAGGCGGGCGGAGGGAGGGGGGAGACAGAAGGGAGATGTAGAAAAGCCAGTTTTCTTATCTCTAGGAGGACTTGGTGTTGGGACCAAGTTTCTCCCTAATACTGGGAGAGGGTGACTGCACCCCACAGAGCCTGGGGTCTCTGAAGGACACCTGAGGCCTCCCAGGGCACCCGAGGCCTCCCAGGACACTTGAGGCCTCCCAGGACACCTGAGACCTCCCAGGGCACCCCGAGGCCTCCCAGGACACGCCGAGGCCTCCCAGGGCACCCTGAGACCTCCCAGGGCACCCCGAGACCTACCAGGACACCCCGAGGACTCCCAGGGCACCCTGAGGCCTCCCAGGACACCCCAGGCCTCCCAGGACACCCCGAGGCCTCCCAGGACACCCCAGGCCTCCCAGGGTACCCTGAGGACTCCCAGGACACCCCAAGGCCTCCCAGGGTACCCCGAGACCTCCCAGGGCACCCCGAGGCCTCCCAGGGCACCCCAAGCCTCTAAGCAACAGCAATCCATCTTATCAACTCAGAGGAAAGAAATGGAGCCGGAATTTTCAGCTTTGCAGCTTCAGACCCACGTAGTGCGGTGGAGGCTGAGGGGCTGCCCCACACCCCAGCACCAGTAAATCAATATGGAAGATCAAACCCTGAAGGCTTGGAATCTGAGCCCAGGCTCGGGTGCGTGGGAAACCTAAGGCCCCAGAGCCCCACTGTGCCAGCCTCTGGGGACAGCGAGGCCTGAGCGGCCGCCTGCCTGGGGGAAGCGGGTGGGGGCACGGGAGGCAGGAGGCCCTGGGTTCCTCCAGGTCCGGCCACCCGGGGATGGGCCTCCTGGGCCGGCATCTGCACCACAATGACTGTCCACACCGTCCTTGGGACGGCGGTCGGGGGCCGCCCTGCTGGCCTCCAACTTCAGGTCCTCTTGTCTGAGTGCCAGGATTACAGGCTTGAGCACGAGGCTCAGCGGAGAGTGGAGCTGGGGCAGGGCCCTGCAGTGTGCGTGTGCGCGCGTGTGCGTGCGTGTGTGTGCATGCCCTCACGCCCTCGCCCTGGCACTGGCATGTGCGTGCCGTGTGAGTGCTGTGTGCATGCCCTGTGCGTGCCGCGCCCGTGCCCTTACCACCTCGCCCTGGCACTGGCGGAAGCTGGCGTTGATGCGGTCCAGGTCGCGGCGGGCGCCCAGCAGCAGCTGCATGATGGCGTCGCGGGCCTGGGCGGTGAGGTTGAGCTGCAGGCTGAGGTTGGCGCGCAGGGCACCCAGGTCCTGCACCTGCCCGTACAGCGCATCGGCCCGGCCCTGCGTGGCCCGCAGGTTGGCCTCGGTGGCCGCGTGCGGGTTTCCGTACACCATGAAGAGCACCAGGCCCAGGATGACCAGCAGCTGTGTCAGTGAGGCGAAGAGGAAGAAGTAGCGCAGGTAGAACCAGCAGCCGCGGGGCTCGAAGGGGCGCTCAGCCGCCAGCCCCATGCCGCCCTGCCTGGCCTCCACTCCCCAAGCCCCAAAGCGCCGCCCGCAGTCGGAGCTCCGAGCCGCCGCCTGCAGTCCCGGCAGAGCAGCCTGTTGTCCTGACTCCCAGCCGCAGCCTCTTAAATCCCGGCCTGGGGGGGGGGGGGGTGCGGGGGGGGGGGGAGGAGCCCCCCCCGCCCCGCCCTGGCCCGGCCCCTCCTTCCGGCCCAACGGCCGGGAGGGGAGGGGAGGGCAGGACAGGCGAGGGCATCGGCTGGACCTGACCCCACCTCGCCCCTGTCCCCATGGCGAACACCCTGCTGACACCTCACTGGCTGGGGCCTCGCTGGTGCTGCCTCAGTTTCTCTCCCTGGCACACGAGTGTGCTCCGTCCAGCTGGCTCTGCCTGGCGCCGCCTCATGACTTGTCCTCCGCAGGATGAGAAGTGGAGCCTCTCGGCCTCACTGCCGGTCAGTGTTCAACACCAGCAAATGTTGGGGGCTGGGTCTCCCCATCTCCAGGAGAAGGCCCTGGGGATGGGGTCCCCGGCTCCAGGGGGAGACTCCGGGTGCATTCTCTGCTTCCTGTGAGATGGTGGTGCCCGACCGGGTTCGGCCCGGCCACACCGGGGACCACAAGACCCCAGCCTGTCAGGGTCAAGCCGGCCGGAGGAGGCAGGGAACGCAGGCCGCACCGGACGGTGGGATCCAGCGCTGCCCGCCTGGGGGGCGGTGAGCAGGAGGGTGGACCGTCCCCTGGCGGGGCTTCGGGCTGTCAGCCAGGCGTGGAGGGCCCAGAAGGAGGAAGTTCCCAGGGGGGCAGGAAGCCCTGTCTGACCTTTGGCCTTTGCGGCCACCAGGCGATTCCTGGTTCCGGACCCTTCCCGGGCAGCAGGCTGGTGGAGGAAGAGGGTTGGGGGCTGTGGCCGGTGCCCAACCAGCCATGAGTCCAGGTTGGCCAGGCCCTCAGGGACCCCGGCCCTGCCCGCCCACCGGGCAGGGCACACGCCGCACGGGTGACCCAGGTGCCGAGGTTCTGGCCGTGCCACCTGCCAGCTGCCTGACCTGACTTCCTCTCCCAGCCTCACTTCTTCCTGTGCAGAGGGGCTGTAACCCTTGGGGTGGGATTCAAGGAGGGCGGGGTGGGCCGGGCTGTCTTCCTCGAACACTGCAGGAGTTGCTGCTCACAGGCGGCCTCCACCTCTGACCACCGCACAGGACAGGAGGGCGGCTCCCCTACGGTGGTCTTGGGGATTCTGGTGAGGGAGAACCTAGCCCCCCCACCCCCGTGGCATTTGGTCAGAGCTTGAACCTGCACCTTGGCCCCAGAGTGGGCTGCGGTGTGGGCTGGGCCGCGGCCTCTCCGGCACTGCTGCTCCCCTCCGCCCAGCCTGCCTCCCTCCCTCCCCGGACGCCAGCCCGGCCCGCAGCTTCCTCACCACACTGCCTATACTAGCCTTGAACTCACAATCCTCCAGGTGCTTGGGGGGCAGCACAGGTGTGAGACACCAGGCCGGCCTGGCTAGCGACCTCACACCTGTTACTGTGGTGAGGGCGGATTTTCTGGGTTTGTTCTACAGTTAGTCTCGGAGATGTGTTTGCAATCTCCTCCTGTTCTTCTTCTCCTCATCCCCCTCTTCCTCTTCCTCCTCTGTTTCCCCTTCCTCCTCCTCCCTCCCTCCTGGCAGGGCTGAATCTGGCTTTCAGGGCCTCAGGGTGCAGTGCCCCTCCCAGCTCCCCTGATTGCTTTTGCGGCGGCTCACGTGGCTGTGCCCGACATTGAGGCTGAGCTAGGTTTTGTTTCGAGGAACAGAAGCTCTGATGTCAGGTCTTCACAAATGAAACCTGTGTCCGAGCGGTATAAGGTACAGTGGCTACTTCAGGTTGTCTAGCTTTCCCCAGGCACCCTTCACAGAACCTGCCTTCCACCTGCTGGGCAGCAAGCAAATCCCTACAGAAGGGCTTGTGTGTGAAGGCTGGGGTGAGTATGAATACTAACAGGGTGTGTGCTGGCGTAGTGTGCTACTGAATACTCACGTGGTGTGTTATTGCTATGGTAAGCTATTAAATAGAAATACATTGGGGCTGGGAAGGTGGCTCAGTGGTAGAGCACTTGCCTTGCATGCCTGAGGCCCTGGGTTCGATTCCTCAGCACCACATAAGCAAAAAGAAAAAAACTGGAAGTGGCGCTGTGGCTCAAATGGTAGAGCGCTAGCCTTGAGCTGAAGAGCTGAGGGACAACGGCCAGGCCCAGAGTTCAGGCCCCAGGACCGGACCCTCCCCCCCCAAAAAAGAAAAAAAATACATTGAATGTACTGTGTATGAAATAATAATATGAAATGTTAAAGTAGGAGTTAAAAGTCAAAAGCTAGAATTATGGAATGGGGAGATAAGAATTATGGAATGGGGAGATAAGAAGCCTCCCCCCCACCCCCCAATGCCCCCCCCCCACCCTGAGCCTGCCAAGCTGACCGGCACCAAAACAACCAGCCCTCAGAGATCACCAGACCCACCAGAGGGAAGCTGTCACCAAAGATAACCCTGGTAATCAGACAGGGCCAGAGATGAGCATATGAACACCCAGGGCAGCAGAGACCCAGCCAGGCCACCTCCCCAAGCCGGGTGACTCCACGTCGGACCGACCCTCCACTGGAGCCCGCCCCACGGAGGACGTCCTTGGCGGACCCCTCGACCCCCTCAACCTCAGGACCAAGGGAGGGAGGAGAGGGCACCCTCAGTAGGATCAGGCCTAGAGTTAGTTATTGGAATGGATGGTGTTTGAAGTGCTTAAATAAACTAAGTGAAACTATTACTCTAAGCGTGTGGCTATTGATACGTAATGGCTGTCACCAGTGTGGGAGGGTCTGCCAGACAGGCCCCCCCCCAGGGACAGGCCCTGGGGACAGGGGCCCTCGGGCTCCAGGGCAGGATGGGTCCATCAGCCTGATGGGCCCCTGGTATTTTCCTGACAGCAGTTTGTCAACCCACAGGAAGCTGCGGGGATCCGTGGTCGGCCTTCAACTCCCTGTCCTGTCTGAGGGAAACAATCCATTCTGCTGAGCTGTTTACCCACGGGGAGGGGTCAGTCCTGAGGAAACAGCCGGGGCCCTGGAAGAAGACAGCCGGGCGTCCAACCCTCACATGGGTGGGAACATGACGGATTTACGTCTGGTTTCCAGACAGGACCCTGCTGGTCTCGCTGCCTCTTCAAGAAGGTCCTTTGGGGAGAGAGCCAGGAAAGGGTCCCATTGTCCGCGAAGAAAAGTACTCTTCGCCTGACACGCAGCTGTAACCCTCTGTCCATTGCCTTTATGGTAATAAAATACTTTCTTTTTTAAAAAAAGGAAAGGACTGGGAAGGTGGCTCAGCGGTAGAGCGCCTGCCTAGCACACATGAAGCCCTGGGTTCGAGTCCTCAGCACCACATACACAGAAAAAGGTAGAAGTGGCGCTGTGGCCAAGTGGTAGAGCGCTAGCCTTGAGCAAAAGGTTCAGGAACAGTGCCCAGGCCTTGAGTTCAAGCCCCAGGACTGGCAAAAAAAAGAAGGGAGGAGGTTCTTTGTTACTGTTGTTGTGTGTTTTAAGTCAGTGTCTGAGTACAAGGCGTGTGGGCCCCACCCCCACCTGTCCCCCACACCCGGTTCCCGGGCCACATCCACAGAGGCGCCTTGACTGCCATTCGCCCTTCCTAAGGAGCTGTGGGGCTGCATTCAGCCCTGTGCACAGTGAGTCAGCCTGCTTTCCTGGTGACAGAGAAGTGGGACAAGGATTTGTCGTTTGGGGAGCAGGGGCAGAGATGCCCTGGGGAGCACCCTGTGCTGGGGGGAGGCAGACGCTCCCTGCGGTGCCCCGGCCCGCCCCCTCCATCCAGCACGGCTCCGGACCGCCACCGAGGAGCAGGCCAGCCAACACTGCTCACAGGGAGACACAGAGCTGCTCAGAGTGCCACCCCAGAGAGAGAGGGGCCCAGGCCAGGCCGGGGCAGACGGCGGAGGACCGGTGGGGCCTGCTGCTGAGGGGGGGCTGTGTCCCCAACCTGGGGCTGGGAAGGCCACCAAGCCCACTCTCCCCAGGTCACGTAAGCCCTGACCTGCTCTGAACGCCCTCAATGACCTTGGAGTTCAGAGGCCCCAGACTTGTCTTCTCTTCCTTTCCCTCCTCTCCCTTCCTCTTTTTGTGCCAGTCCTGGGGCTTGAACTTAGGGCTTGGGTGTTGTCTGTGAGCTTTGTCATTCAAAGTTCTACCACTTGGAAAAGCCTGGCCCCAGTGGCTCACACCTGTAATTCTAGCTACTCAGGAGGCTGAGATCTGAGGATCGCGGTTCAAAACCAGCAGAGGCAGGAAAGACAGTGAGACTCTTATCTCCAATAAACCACTCAGAAAACTGGAAGTGGTACTGTGGCTCAAGTAGTAGATCCCTCGCCTTGAGCTGAAGAGCATAGGGACAGTGCCCAGGCCCAGAGTTCAAGCCCCACAACTTTGCTGCCCGGGCTGGCCTTGAACCAGGATCCTCAGGTCTCAGCCTCCTGAGCAGCTGGGATGACAGGCGTGAGCCCCGGGCAGCCAGCTTCCTTCCTCACTCTCTGCCACCACACCAGACGGCATCTTCCTCCCAGCCCAGCTGCAGCTCCACACTGCCTCCAGTCTGAGCAACTTTTAGGGGGCTCTAGGGGAGGCCCAGGTACCAACAAGGCTTTGAGCCAGTCCGTCCGCAGGACCAGCCCTTCCCCAAATCCACCTCTGCTCCCAGAGGGACCCCGGCTGGGCCTCCAAGCCTGAAGCTCTGGCTGCCTCCAAAGGAAGCGATGTTTCCTGTTTGTTTCCGGATTAATCATGCCAGGGTCGGGGGTCTCCGACAGGGCCGGCTGTCCCCAGCTTCTCAAGCCCTGGGCTCTGAGCAGAGGCTGTGGGGTCTGTAGACACGGGCGGCCCCTGGTGGCCCCACAGAGCACAGCATCCCTCTCAGAGCCCACACCCTGCATGAACCCCAGCCTCAGTGTCCCACACCCGAGGGTCCCACACCCCTGAGGATGGAGGCTGACACCGGGTACCACCTAGCCCCTGGGTGGGAGGGGGTGAGCAGGACACCGCGGGCGGCAGACAAGGCTCCCGCTCCAC